ATAAAATAATTGTCAAAATATGTATAAAAGCATGAGTCCCCAAATCCAACTATATATAAATGTTATTAATCACGTGAGCTGGAAGGGCTTATATCATAACCTCCTATAATAATCATTGGTTGTGGCCCCAGACATTTTCAGTTCCCAAATTCATTGGGTTGTATTTCTTGTAGCCCAACCCAAGTGCATACCCATGGCCCATATATTACTATAATAACCCAATCGAGAACTAAAATTTGCTGAATAACATCATAACACAAGCTCAATGGGGCCAATAATAATTGTGTGCTCAAATCATGAGTCATTAGATTCTTGATCTTCTTTTTAGTCAGATTGAATAAATTAAAGGGTGTTTTTTTTTTCTTTTCTTTTTTTTAATTTTATATATAAACTAAAATGGTCTATGAGATTGGCATAATTCCTCATTTTGGTCCCTACCAATGAAAATCGATAGAAGTAGTTCTTGAGTTTGTCCACCCTGAATCATTTTGGTCATTCTGTGAAAATTTGTCAATATCCTCATTAAATTATCACATGAACAAGACTATTGACATACCAACCTCTCCACTTATCAAGGATACTGACAGATTTTTCACTGAATGACTAAAATGATTTACGGTGAACAAACTCAAAGATCACTTCTATCGATTTTCAATGTCAGCGACTAAAATGAAGAGTTATACCAATCTCAAAAACTATTTTGTCTAAAAATCCTAAATCAAAAGAGAATTAAGGAACGAAATACAAGAAATGCATAAAGCAAAAACGTGACTCCAGAAATCATTTCTAGATTCTTCACATTTATACAATCATATGTTGTTGCCTTCAATTGACTTAACCACTCAAAGCATCAATGATATGATTTAACAATCACCAACAATGCCAATAATAACAATAATATCAAAAGCTGGTTGTTCAACTCCACTACTCAAGTTTTATATTCAATAATTCAACTTGGATTTCATGCTCAATTATTTAGGGTTACAAATTATTCGTCTAATCATTAATTCCACTAGCTTTTAACAACCCCTAATAATAAACTCATCAAATGTAATTTTTGGGTTTATGTATTGTAAGGACCAAACAAACTGGACTATATCTAGTTTTAAAATGGTAAAACAAGTTAAAACAAGTGAGATCATGTTTAGTGTGGGACCATGAGAGTGGAGACCAATACCAACCCAACATATTATATATGCATGTATGAATGTATGTATGTATGTATGTAGCAATGGACAAATTCAAGAACCAAAGCTCGAACACATGTTTGAACAATTAAAATTGGAAACTATGAGAAGAAACACCCCTATCCCAATGGACAAATTCAAGAACCAAAGCTCGATCTCTAAGGAGGTCGAAAATGAGCGTTGATGTGAGGGAGTTGGAAAAGGGTGGTTGTTTGGGAAGGATGGATTGTGAAAGATTGTGTGTGGGGGTTTTTTTGTGGGTTGTCGATTTTTTTACAGTTAGTTGGGGTGATGTTGGTTCACGTTTTCAACTCCTTAATTGTATGGGCACATGCCTATTTGTGATTGGACACTTGTTCATTTCAGCAGAACTTGCTGCTTTTTTTTCAGCAGCCAAGTATTATTCTTTGACAAACACACAAACATATATATATTTATATGTATATATCATAATATGGTGCATAGCTGATGGGAAGCACTGATGATGAAGTGGCAGATCAATAGCAGAACATGGGCAGCCATACCATAAAAATTTGACACATTTGGGAGGGAGGGAGGGAGAGAGTAACAAATCAGATTCAGATGGAGTTCGAGGATAGGAAGTGAGGCCAAAACTGGTATGTTCATTTGGCCACCATGTATAATTCCAATTGTTGTTTTCAGTAAGCCAAGTGCCTTGTACTTGCAAAGACAACAATGCAAATTACATACCCAAAACCTTACCCAAAACAAAATCAATGACTTCAAATAAGTTTTCTCAAATTAAGAATTGATTTTGTTCGCTTCAAGGCTTCGCAGTTCAGATTGGTTTGGTTTAGAACTCGAAACTAGCAACATAATCGAACAAAGCATCCATTGGGTGATCAGTTTGATTTGGTTTGGTTTGGTCTGGTCTGGTCATTTCCGTTCCTAGAAAATTCAAGCAAACATTACTCTTTGCATACACTAAAGGGTGATTCAAACCCTAAATTGAGCATGAGTTGAAAAAACTTCCTTTTAAGTTTGAAGATTAACAAATCTTGGGAGATATGAAGTCAAATTTGAATGGTTGGATCCAAAAAAGATACCAAACAGACTGTTGTAAAGAATATGAACATAGGTCAATATTAGGCCCAAAATATCCTCAAACTGTGGATCTTAGAAAGTGTTTCGTTACTCTATGATATAAACAGAAAAAGATTCAGTTACTGGAGACAAACCGAGAACAGAACTTGGCAGAAAGGCTCGAGGGTGGGAGCTAGAGAACCGAAAGTTTAGCAAATGAAGGTGTTTACATCGTCCTTGATGGTGAACGAGGCTTTAAAGAGATCTTGATGGCAAATGAGTTTTGACTATGACGATGAAAGGGGGAGAGCTTGAGGTGTGTAGCTTACAACGACTTGAGTTTTATCCAAGTGAAAACTTGAGGGTATGACATGAGGTCTAATGCTTGAGGATATGACATGATGATGTTGTTGGAAATGTGCCCTAAAACCAATCATATGATGATACTTTACGGACATTTCAAACTAATGTAGTTTAAATGTAAAGGGCAAAGATTATTGTTTGAGCCGTCTCATATAAATGTTATATGTTTAAACGATAAGTCCAAGGAATATGTGATTGGAAGAATGCGATCTAAAGAAGTTAGATTCATGAGACCATTCTTTCGTTGACACATCCTAAACGTTCCTGATCATAGGATTGTCAATTGGGCATTGACAGTCCGTTAAGATCAGTACGTGCTATGTCTTCTCTCAGGGAGAGTGACTAGTCTCGAGTCATTGGTGTGTGTGACATCAAGACAAGTACGTAGGTGCTCAATAGAGAATGAGTTCACTGAACACGATCAACGAAGAGTTCTCATATTCATGTCACATGAGAACTCATGGTTGGGATAATGCAAATTAGTCTTTTGACCTGAGGCATCACAGTTGTCTTGTGGTTAGGTCCTTAATCTTTGATTATGTCAAAGTCACTCCATCAGGAGGGTGTCCATGGCATCGTTGGGGTTAAGCCACTTAGCCATGGAGGCAAGTGAATGCGCAACAAGGGATCTCTAACCTTCAAACTGTTTGAGGGAGAATACTCTATGATATGATTAAGAATCTTTGGCCAAAGTATGAATGAGATTTAGGAATGTGTTCCAAATCACATTCAAGGTAATCATATAAGCACAAGACTCACATTGAATAGTAGACATGAATAAACTATCAAACCAAACAATGTGGTCAAGAGTATTGTATTAGAGAAAGACCGTATTGCATTTGTAATCCTAAAACTGAATAGGTTCTCCACCTCTTCTGATTAGCTTGGGTAACCATGACATGCTGCTAGGCGTCAACCATGGTTTGTGGAAGCCCTAAAAGTGTATTATCACTAACGGGAGAATTGAAAGTAAGTTTCAATTCACAATCGATTAGAAAGAGTTTTAATCGCCCACTGCCTCGCTAAAAGGAACCTAATGGATCGTTCACCGAGTAAGGTAGAGTTTGAAGAAACAACGGAGATGAGTAAGAATAATTAAATGGTTTAATTATTTATCTAAGGCTAGGATTAATTAATATGTTAATTAATCAAACGAATAAGTTCGTTAAAGACCTCGGGTTAGTTTTGGGCCGCAAGGCCCAATGGGATTTGAATGTCAAGCCCATTAACTCAAGTTGTATGACAACTTGAATAAACAAAGGGCTTGAAAGCCCAATAAACCCTATAGGCTTGCCATGTTAGAAGAATAGGACTTTTGGTCCATTAGGTCACTTATTTGAAGGGACTATATAAAGGACTTTATAGCCTAAAATTTAAAAATGGTAATTTTTGGGGAAAGGATGAGAACACAAGCTCTCCTTTCTCTCTAAAATTTAGGCCACCTTGGAGGGATCATCTAGCAATCAAACTCCTCCAAGGTCACTCATTTCTTCTTCATTATGCCTTGGTGATGAATCATTAGAGGTTCTCAATTTTGGGAACTTGGAGAAACCTTTTCATCCATCCAAATCCATGGATCTAAGATGCAAGGAATGAAGGCCCTCTCTTTGGGTGATTAGCCTTTGCTTATGCAAAGAGGAATCTACAAAGGTATTGATTTCTCAACTCACTTTGTTTTGAGTTGAGTCTTGGTTCACCTATCTACTAGGCTTTGAATTTCATGGGTAAATGTTTTGTTTTAAGTGCATACAAGCATGATTCCGCCTTTAATTGTTAATTGCATGCTATTGATGTTGCTTAAATGAACATGTTTTTCACAAATCTTCCTTCAGATGTAAGATTTCAAATGGAGGGAAAGTGAAAATTGGAAGAATCCTTGTATCTGGATGAAGGTTCCTATGAGGTCTCAAAGGATAAGAGTGGAAAGATTGAAGCTGATGTTGTGGCAGCAGCTGGAAAGGAGTTTTCTTGGGAAAAAAATGGCAAATGTGAGTTATAGAAGGCGAAGAATTTCCCTTGTTCCCCAGTGGATGAAAGCAAGCACCATAGACGATGCCTTAAAAGGACACAAAATGTTTATTTCTTATACTATGTTTATGGAATGGAAAAATTCAGTCCAAGTTTCCAGCTTGTCATGTTTGGGTATATTGGAATCCACAGAGATGCCTTCAAAGGAAAGAAAAATGGGGCTGTTTTCAGATTTGAGGTAACCCTATGGACAGACATTGCAGAGAGCAGTAGGGAGGGAATGACACATGATGAAAAAGCACCCACTAAACACCCCAAGTTTTCAAGATATCTGAATGTGTACGTTGTTAAAACTAGTAAAGAAAGGATGAAGAACAGTGTTCTACTTCCAGTCACCTTCATTCTCGACCTAGGTTCCAACTGCAATGCTCACTGATGTTTAAAATATCTGAAGTTAAAATTCTAAAGAATGATATAAAATTAGAATAGTTGACAAATGATTACAACCCTGATAACTATGACCCCGTACGGGGTCATCCTAAATCCTGTAACTGTGACCCCATACGGGCCATGCCCTTTTTCTACACCCTCTTCTCATCATATCCCTCTTTGGGACCCTTCAAAAAATGTGTATATTTCTGTGTTCTTACTACACATGGGAAAAAACAAAAGAATGATATCATCAGGTAACGGAAGGATGTGCATACCCAAAAATAACTCCTCAGTTGATCCACTTTGTGAGAAAACGATGCAAGGCTGCTAATCATCAGATTCCACTGTTGGAGTTTTTGAGCAGCTATCCTGCTGGTGGAGTTCTAGCAATTTGGTTTCTGGGTTGCACAGCCCTGCATTAACAATAACACTATAAAACAATGTACACTTATGTGTATATAAATGTAAAATGTCCAATCCACTTATTCCTTTTTCAAGTAATTGCTAAACACTTACTTTCAGTTTTCATCCTCTCATTGATGCTCCAATGAAGGGCAAAATGGTCAACTGATTGATTAAAGCTTAATGGGACTCTAAACTATTTTGAATTGATATAACATTTGTGGTTTATTCAAAATAACTCCTAGTTTTTTTAAAAGAATTTTCCCTTTCAAAACAGTATTATCATTTCCTATGGTTATTTACTTTTTCATTTCATTCCCAAGTTAAATCATGTGGTTCTGAAGGCTAAGAGACAGCGGGATGTGAAACACAACTCTCTGCATAAGATGAAACATTTTATGTCTGAACACCGATCTCGAATGCAATTTTAGCACATGGCATTTGATTAGCAGAGATTACTATGATAGTCTCTAAAATTTATCAACGGAGAAGAAACACCAACCAGAGCACTTCGGAATATCCCACACTGCAATAGATGATGATGTACACCGCGGTGAGCACAATGCTTTATTGTTCTCTTGGTTGACATTCATTGCAAGCATCCATGCACCAATTGTGACATCCTCATTGCTAAACATTCGAAAACTGTGATTACACAGAAGATGATACAAAATTAGCTTTGTTGCAAGGTAGGATTAGCAGAGATGTAAAGATCTATTGACAATTGAATAATTTATTTTCTTGATATTTGAATTTAATGGGAAAACAACAAACCAAATAGCCTAAGATGAGTTAAGACAATCATGTATCTGGATACAATAATCAGAAGCCTACACAGCATGGATGCTTCATGCTAAATGATGCGAGAAATCCCAACTATAATACTTCATCCGTAGGGGCATTGGAGGTGGTATCACAAGCATAAAACCACCTGATATTCAAGCTGCCTTTATAAGTCTCTCTTTAATGATAATTGGAGTTGGACTAGGTTTATTAACCCCTGGACACTGACCTAGAAATGCTTTCTGAAGAATGCTAACAATAAGAGTTACCATGACCATATAAACTTCACCCCGTCTTTATTTTAGTTGAACTAGGCATTCATTAAATACTTGTTAGCTTTTATGGCCAGAACTTTCTCCCAAAGGCACAAAAAGCCAATAAAACTCAACACTCGCCACTTTTTCACATATATACATCCGGACAAACAAATACAGCCAAGGTCCTACCGTCCCGCAAACCTATCAATCTCCTAGACAATTAAACAACTAATAATAGAAACTAAGATATGTTCAACCACCCAGGACTTCGCTCAAGTGATAATAGAGTGGTCAGATCTAAGAGGCACTCATTGTTCAGGAAAGTAAAAGAGTATGACACAATTGCAAGTGTATAGACCTGTACCATATACTAGTGTCTCCTAAATATCGTAGAACAACTTAACTGGCCTCTCCATATGTGACCGAATAACATTACCAACACCCACCAATTGAACCAAAGAGGAATCATTCAAGAACTCTTAAAGATAAAACAATAGAAGGAGAACTGAAAGCAGACACCCCTTCACCCTCCCAGCACTGTGTACATGGTTATAAGTTAAACTCCTTCCAATAGATAAACTTGGCAACTTAAACAACTTATGGGAAGTTGGCATTAAAGCCGGACATGTTCAGCCACCTTGGACTTGTCTCAAGGGACAATGGAGTGGTCATGCCTAGGGCTTAATTTTTCCTAAGGGTAAAAGAAGATTACTGACACCAACTAACTAGATCAAAGAGAAAAGTGAAGTTGAAACTTTTTCAATCATTCAAGATCTCTGATTAAGAACACACCATCAGCTTCCCAACATATATACATGGTAAGAGAGACTGAAAGTACAATATAACAAAAAATAACTTCCCGGTGCATACATCTAAGGGTACATATCAACTAAATTAGTAAAGTTTGGTTGATGCGTTAAAACTTGCCTATTGTTTCTAAGAGCAACCAAACTTGCAACAACATCTGCAGAAAGAGCATATATTGGACCATAGGCATGGAGAAAGTACTCGCTTCCAAGCAAATAGGAAAGTGGCTCATACCTGCAATAATTTCATCGATCAGATCATTTTACTGCAGCAAGAAAAGATAACTGAATGATTCTGGTTATCAGTGAACCATTTAACTTGGATGCAAGATAACTGGACACTGTACTTTCAGTAATCACACCCCCCAAATGATTCCAAAAGTCTTAAATCAAGTAGTTGCACGGCATAAATATAAAAAGGAAGTTTAATGATATCACCAGAGAAAAGACAACCAGATCATGAAAGAAACAGCACTAACCACTTAAGATTCGGGTCAGTGAAGACTGGGCCCTTTTTCATGCACCCAAGGTAAGTCTGAGAGTGAGAACGCTCTTTTGCCAAAAGCAGTGAAAGGCGATCTGGTAATATCAATGCAAAGTGATCACATTACTCCAAAAAATCTCAGAATCAAATAACATATTAGACACACTAAATATGATATGGATATTCTGTACAAATCTACGAACCTGGCCTTAAGTATATGTCGTCATCAGCTTTAACATAGAAGTCAGCATCATAAAGTGCATAGGCAGCTTTGAAGAAAGCCAACCTGCAATAGAAACAAACAACATTTTTATTTTCATAATACTTCAGTAATAAACTAGAGGCACGAAAGACGACTATCATTATTCCAGAACTAACGTTTTGTAGGGGAGCTTGCTGTACTCCTCTTCAATATCCAATAGCACGAAATCATCATATTTGGCCACCTCTTTAGAGAGTTCTGCCATCTTTGCTTTATCCTTGGTTTTACCAATCACAAACCTGAAAGCCAAACCAGTGGCTTCTTCCAAGCTGCAACCCCACTTTCCCAATCAATACCAAATAACACAATCACAATTACCAAGCTTTCGACTTTTTCAAGCCACTCTAGCATATAACGTCATCTAAATCAAAGTTCAAAATCAATAATCATTCTCCTAGGACCGCAACAAACAATATATGCTATTAAAATCGGGAAATTGACCAAAATGATCGTGTTTTGCTAATCCAAATCATTGAACTATCAAGATCGAATCTTGTCCACATATATCGATCAAATATTAACGACATTATCGATTAGATACTAAAAAGTGATCATTTCAGCAATTGGGATTTGTAAACTGATCATTTCAGCCAATTTTCCATTAAAATCATGTGAAATATGAATCCAATTGTTGGTATGTATGAAAACAGATTTTAAAAAAATCGATACCGTTGAAGCCCCTGTGTATTGGACGGCATCCAAGTCTTCCTCAAGGACTGTCTACGACCAGTGGATCGAAACCCGGTCTGTATCCCCACAAAGCCCATGACTTTATGCCTCTTGTTCTCGTCATTTCCATCTCCAACACCAGAAACGAGACCGTTTTGAGTGCTGCTGCCGCCGCCGCCGCCGCCACTTTTCTCCCAAACCACCTTCACCGATCTGGCGTTGCCGGTCAGGCACCTGTACTGACTAGGGTGGAGAACCGAGACGATTCCGAAGATGAACCCGGAGAGTCCGAAGACCAGGGAGAAGGCGACGATCAGAACTGTTGTTCTGAGAGTGGAGGGAGGTTGGCGTGCGTGGAAGAACTTGGGGGATGAAGGCATCGTTTTGCAGTTCAGGGAAGGAGAGGAGAAACCCTAGAAGAAAATCTAGGGTTCGTGGGAGTGATCTGTAAGAGAAGGAATCCACAATCGGAGAGAGCTAGAGAGAGATAGAGAGAGAGAAGGTTTCCGTTATTGGTCGTTACCGTTTCCGGTCTGAAGTCCGGACTCCGGAGCGTAATGATTTCGGTTTTTAAATCTTCCGATTGCTTGAAAAATTAATAAATACATTTCCGGTTTGGTTGGATACAAACGTTTTCTCATGGACTTTTTTTGGTGAATTAGGTTTTTTATTTCAAATTAGGAGCCATTTTGATACCATTTCGTTGTTAATTTCAATTTTAAACCTTTTTTTATCAAAACTATTTCGTTGTTAGTTTAAATTTTAAATTTTTTGAACTGAAAACTCATATTTTGTTTGGTAACCGTTTTCAGTTTTTTAATGAGGTAATAATCAAATAATTCTCAAACAGCTCCTTAGTAAACTAGTTAGGCACGTTTTTATGTCAGTTAACCTTTTTATCAATGATATTATGTGTTAAACCAAAACATTCATTTTTATTATTAAAATGTGACATTTTTATCAAAAAAATTAAATGAAATGTACCTTAAGTGAAAAATTGGTTCAACTGCTCAAATTTTACATTTTATTAATTTATTTATTATTATAATTTATAATTCAATATTTTATAAAAATTAAAAAAAAAGGGTTTTGTTAGTATTAAAGCTGAGACTTAAAGTCTCTTAATTTTTTTTTCCATTTATGACAAATAATCACCAAGTAATATTTAGTCCAGTGATATTCTTTAGTATGAAAAGTGGTTTTTTTTTTCCCCTACCAAAAAAGAGTTTTTCTTAAGAGAATATGTGTCAGCATATGAGATTTATGTAAAACGCTATATCTTTACATGGTCAATGATACATTGACATGTGCAAATTTCTTCAACACGGTATTATAGCATTAACACGAAACATTGAGATGATGTTGTATCCATACCATGTAAGCTGCACTCATACGTTTAAGATTGGAAAATTTTCGCGTTAATCAATTTTATTTAACTTGATCCCATTTAACGATATGTTTAAGATGTAAACTTCAAACTATAGATTAATAGTCTCAGATTGGTTAAAACCGATGTTGTTCTGTATCGTAAACAACGAACCATGTCAATAAACGAGATCAAAGTTATAAAAATAAAAAAATTGAGTAAGAACATTGGTTTTCTCAGCGGTCCAACATTTCATTTGAGCACCAGACACATTTTAACTTAAACGATTTTATATTTTATTTCAAAATCGCATTTTTTTTAATTTTTTGCGATTATTCGTCCAAAGGAAGCTGCTGCTGTATTTCATCATACATTTTCAAGGATTCAACATTAGCCACGGTTTCCGGCCCGTCGCTATTTTCTAATCTTAGTTCTGCTACTTCTTCCACAGACAGCTTTGAAAATTCGCCCTGCAAAGTGCTTCCTTCGGCTTCACCTACTTCTGCTTGCGCATTCTTGCTTCCCTTAACTCCGACTTCCGCTTCCTTGGTATCAAGTTCGGATTCCCAGCCTTCTTCGATCTGACAACCGGTTCCCTCGAATGGATGGATACCATCGTTGAATTCAGCTTCAGCGCCGACTTCTAACTCCGCATCAGCAGCAACTCTGTTGGTTTCCATTTCTGTTTGTTTTAACATCAGCGTCGTTAGCAGAAGGCGATATATCAGGTTGCCGTACATGCCTGAGAAGGGTAAAGAATAACTTACTGGAACGCCTATGTGCTTTTTGATTTTCGTACAAGGGTTTTTTGAGCAGCATTGTTCCAGGAAAGACCATCAAGTTGATCTTGTCCAAACCACGCTTTTCATCGCCTTCTACAGGTACAAAGCCAAAACCCTGTGTCCATGTCTCAACCAAATCGGGAATGGCAGCTACGACAAGCTTTTCAACCTTAAAAGATAGTAGCATCTACAACCACATGGAGAAAAGAAACATATTAATAACATAAACCAGATTAATATCTGCTGGACCGGTGATTTCTAAAATCGGAGGACATACCTATACAGAGATCGGTCCTACTTTTATTTCTAAGAAATGAAGAATCTTACAAAAATTGTTTGAAGTATATATTAGTAATATTGTCGAGTTTACTTAATCCTGATTTAGAAGTTCCATAAATAGGTATAAATCCTGATTTATTGTGTATCTTTAGTACAGTAAATGAAAGCCAATTATTTCAAGGAAAATACCATAAACTACATATTTTACATCTATACCTCTTCAATTGCAGCGAGGAGGCGTCGGCACATTCCCTGGCGACGGAATTCACTGCAAGTTGCAATAAGCGGCATCTCTGCAACTGTTGTTCCATGCACCCTGCAACAAACAAGAGAGCAAATATGTCAGAAGTTCAAAACTAATAACAAGGAAGCAGTACGAAACTCAAAAAACTTGGGTTTGTAAAGAGTTGAGAATCCATATTAAAATCGGTTGTGTGCCACTGCCTAGTTAAAGACAGGAGAGCTGAGAAGAATGGTGGAAGAAAGTGTGGTTGCGCACAAAATTCATAGATGAATCAAAATGATGGCGATACATGCAAAGATATTGCAATGCCAAGTGTTGAAAACCTCTGAAGCACCAGGTCCTGGCAACGCAACCTAATTAATGCTCTCCACATAAGAGGAAAAAAAAACATAGGTGGAAAACTATTCAATACACATAATCGTATGATGTGGGCCAACCAATATCTTACGTACAATCCTATGATGTGCGCCAACAAATATCTTACATTCGAACAGTTTTATTGCTAGAAACGCATCCAAATAAATCTCCTGTTTTCTTTCCTTGTTGGGATGTGGAGTTGGATTGGAAGAGTATCTCTTTGCTTGATGGTTGTACCCACTCACATGACGTACACCATACATAAAACTCATACACCGTACATAAAACTCAAACAACCCCTAGAGTTCAGCCAAATGATACCACATGGTGTGCAACATCAATTTTTCTAAGAGCTTATTGAAGGGAAATGTTTTAGTACTACCTGATGGATGCTACAGATACCAACGCATCATCTTTCTCCAAGACTGCAGTGTAAAAGCCTTGAAAATTCAAACGTGCAAACTCTGACCTGAAAGTCAAAAATAGCAATACGTAATTCAAAAATACAAATGATATCTGAGAAGCAACTTTCACTTAAACCAAATTACAGTATATTGCAAGAGGAAGTAATATTTCAGATACAACTTTTCCAAAGGCACACTTTAAGAGCCCTACTTATCAAGTCGGAAAATAATCACGATTCTGTACTAAAGAGATGATCTCACCCCCAGTTGTACAAGACATGGGGTATCATGTCTATGCCTGTTCTAGGATCAACCATTGACAAAAAGCATTCCTCCATTATTGTAAGAGAAACAGCTAGTTTTGTATTGCATTCTGCCTTCAGTGCAAATCGTTGAGCAGAATGATCCTTTTGGTCATCATGAATGCATCTAAGCAGTGTCCATGAAAAGCCATCAGCAAAATGATTAATGCAGCCAACACGAGATTGAAGACCAGAATATGCCTACACACAACCGTTAAAATATAAGTATTTGAATTACTGAAAACCCGTAAGAATAGCAAATGAAGACTAATAAATTCAAGACGCTCTCTTCTGGGGTGAAACAGCAAGCAAAATTTTATCACACTGCTCTTTCATAGCACTTATAACAACTTGGAAGAAACAAATCAGACAAATCACAAGGAACAAAGAAACAACTACAAGACTCATCAGTGGTTCCCTATAGCTAAATAAGGCTCATCACTAATGCGCAAAAAGTTGTAGGACAACGATTCAGGAAAGGAAAACCACTATATTTCATTTACATAAAAAGAAATCAAGTGTTCAAAGGAAGTCCTTACTTTACCCAAAGACAAAACTTAGAGCCAGGAAAACTCATTAATTTATTTTTATGTAAACCCGACAAATCCTCCTTGATTGAATTTTTTAGAAGATTCATAGGATAATACAAAATTACCTCCTGACAGCTTCTGTTACAGAAAAAAGTATCTGGTATCGCTCCGTATGTCCATTTTTCTTTCAGGCATGCATCATGATCTGTTTATAAAAGAATTATAAGGTAAGCTAGACAGTGGAAAGCACAAAAAAGAACATAAATAAAAGGGTAAGTTCAACTTAATCATAAGATGGCCACTAACAAGTTAATAACTGGGAGGAGATTAATTAGAACAGAGATAATAAATAATAAAATGAAGAGAAAAATCAATTCCTTGTAGTCTAACGGGAAAAAATGGATTGACCTTCGTTACACAGACTATATCATATGAAAACGCATAACCAAATCACTTTTTATGGCAATTTATTATCCACTTTCATATATAATACTTATGTTTTTAATCAACTCCAACAAGCTTCTAATGCTCTCTAGAAAAGTAAAACAGTATGGCAATTGAGTATTTAGTATATAAATTAAAATCCACTGACAAGAAAATATGGAAAAAATCTAGGTCACACTATTATAAAATCATCCACTCCCTGTCATAATCACTTTTCGGCGTTGAATATCCATTGCAGGAAATTGTGGAAAACTAACTTCTATAGATATAAGAAGGCTAATTTTCCTTTTACTTCCTAATAAATATAAGAACACCAATATACCAGCTTTGCAATCGAAGAGAATATTAGGTACCATGTTATATTGACACGTACAAACCACACCAAACAACTTCAACTTATCTACATGTACTGAAAACAGTTTAGTTACAAGAAAGATAATCTAGAAATTAGAAAATTACATTTGTGCTCACACTGTGAACACTTAAATCCATCAGGACTTGGAGCCCCTTTGTCATTAACGAAATCACCACATATCCAACAGGTGCAATTTGAGCAATACCAACTGCCTTCAGGGAGCTCCTGAAGTTCAAAAGCAAAAACAGATCATTAGTTTAGAATAAGAGAAAACAACCAAAAATTCCAGGCGCAAATTAAAAGAAAAATCCTTCTAAGAATGAACAATAATAAGTTTTTAAATTAGTAACCTAATTGTATGAAATCATGGAAATATATATATTTTCTTAATGAAATGTCAACATTGAACAGAAGCATAATTATTTACGTTAAAACATTTAGAGATGCTGAAACAATAGAACCAATCATGCAAAAGTTATAAAAGCATAGCATGGAAATGTGTAGAATCTGTAGATAGATAAAATAAGGAGGAAATTTCAGGAAAGAGAACCAACACAAATACACAAGACTAGCCAAAACAAACCTGCAGAGACAAACAAGCCTGATGAAATGTAGATGGGCAATTATCACAGCATATCAACTCGCCACCATCACCACAAATTCCACACGAATCATCATTTTGATCATTTTCATCGTCTCGCACGACTTGGCTGCTCTTTTTCCTGGTCTTGTATTCAGCTGACCAAGCTTGAAGCTGGCATAAGGTGAAGGATTGACCAGATTCCATGAAAAGATTCAAACATGGACGATTCTGTTTGAACCCACCATGACTCTTGAACTCAGAAACTGAAACTACTTTACTGCAACACTTGCAAAAAATGCCGTCCCTGGTAACCAGACCATCTATAAGGACACCACCATCCTTGGGATTTCGATACTGAATCACATCATCTAGAGATATGACACCAGCATCAATTAACCAAGACAAAACTGTTTTCACTCCTACAGAATGCCACTTTCCATCCTTAAAGTGCTTCCCCCCACTGCCCAGGCTTCTTGGAAGCAACTTGCAACTACTCTTTTGGATTTTAGTTTTGCCTTTCTTATGAGCTCTTGATTTGTAGGCTTTCTTTCTAGACAAATACTGAGCATGAGTTGTCCTAAAATCTTTGTTTTTGATAATGGCTGAAACCAACAAGTCATCATCTTCAATTTGGCAATTAAATGATTTCCTTTTTCCAGTCTGAAAATCATAGCATTCACGAGAAATCTTCATCAACTTTGAACTTTTCCTCCCAATCTGTTGCGGGCAAGAGTCGGGAGGTAAGGGCATCTTGCGACTTCCTTTGCATCTTTTATTGCCTGTAAATTCATCCTGGGCCTCTTTCAACTTTGACTGGGTACCATTAGCATCAATACACAGTGAATCAGCACCACTTGAAGTAAAATCTAAAAGGTTTCTTCGGTATAACGTGCTTGGTTCAATTTCAGATATCTTCTTAGACTTCCTACGCGTTTTTCTTTTCAGAACATCAACTATGCAGTTTCCTTGGTTATCTAGTGATCCCTTCTGAGCACTTTCCAGCTTATCATCAACCTTGCCTTCCTTGGATTCATCTTTTTCCTCAGAATAATCCACTGATGTGTCTACCATAATTTCCTTAGGTGTTTCTAAATCAAGTCCAGAACTCTGTTTATTAGAGCTAGGGGAATTTGCATTGCTATCTTGGTGAGGGGATACAGCTTCAGAACCCCCATGCACATTGTTACAGTTTCTGGAAGTTTCATCTTGATGAGTAGCTGAATGAATGCAGGTGCCACCAGACCCACAAACTGGTAAGGAATCCGGACATGTCATTCTCCCAGAGAACCCATTTTCAACTCTATTACCAGCATTCACCAAGCAATGACTATCTGCATTAGCTGAATAAATAGATAGTCCCATACGAAATTTCACTTCCTCATTACCAGATTTCCCACAGGCATTGTAATCTCCCTCAGAAACTGCCAAACCCTTCCTCGCCAATGTGGAATCACGGTGGGGAGCTGACACATCTTCCTTAGTAAAATGATCTTCTATGTTATCGGCACAATTCAAGGCCAAAGCAGAATCAGTCTTATGGTTTGAATCAACTATACTTTGAGTTGCGTTAACTATCTCTCCCTTTCTTAGACTACCAATCTTTCTCGCAATAAACACGACAACCACAAAAGGATCTAAAAGCCTCCAGCAGTAAGCCAACACAGTAGTAGGTTGTGGATGATGCATCTCCTTCTCAATACTTACTATAGCACCAGACAGATCTGACCAGAACTGACTGATATTGGCCCACTCCTTCGTATCATCTTCCTGCAGCATACTGTACCCATCTGCTAACAAAAGTTCTCCACATAACCGCCAAGCTTTGGGGAGTTCACGAATTAACCTTCCCTTAGGTGTTATATAAACAGTCTCCATATAATTTCTACTAGCTCTTTTTTGCCTCTCAATATGCCATCCAGCAGCTTCAAGCAAGCGAGCAACATGATATTGGAGAAGCGGACGAGGATCCTTACCATTCTTTGTCTTCAAGGCCACGTTGGATACATCCAAAACAGGAGATTCAAATCCCTTGGGCTTTCCCTCGGCAGGTAGAGTAGTTCTGGACTTATCCATAACAGTGGCTAATGGACTTGCAGCCAGAAGCCTGGCCGAGAAGTTCTCATGTGAAACAGGTGAAGCAATAGCTTTACTTAGGCAGACTTCCTTTCTATCATCCCCACTTGAGTTTGGCAATCTGCACTTTGAAACATCTGGGTCACCTGTTACACCTGGTTTGTTAAGTTCTGCATGTTGCTTAAACAGATAGCAACTAGACGTGACTCCCTGGCTAGAAGATTCAACCAAACGAAATGTCACTGTTTCAGAGACAGAGTTTGAAGCTGGACCAGACATGACCTTTCCTAAACCAGGTTTAGTATTAGGAAGCTCATCAGCTGAAAACTTCATTCTCTTAACAGCCGCATCATCACCATTCCTATCTAACATAGCAGACCTGTCCAAGGAGAACCCTGGTCCGGAGGTTTCTCTAATTTCTTTGGTTGCATTATAAAACTCCTCTAAACAGGTACTTTTAGGGGATGAATGACTTGTTACAACTGAGTTTTCACTGTTTGGAGACAGTGCTGCATCAGTGTTCTTACTTGACTCACATTCAAAGTTAATCATTCCAGTAACAAGACATCTGTTACTAGTGCGACCAATGTCTTGACCAAAGAAAACCTCTGTGAATATACAGTGCTCAGTTTTCGATCCTTCAAACCCATCATCATGCAAATCGTCAATTTCTTTGCTGAGAAACATCTCTGCCAACTCACTGCAGTTCCACTTTACCAGTCTTCCTTATGTTCCCCTATTTGCAAGACATATAACCATCAGCACGAAAGGTGATATCTACCAGCTGTATATTTTTCTGTTTAAGAGTTACTGAAAAATCTGGAATCTTCCGTTGACAAAAATCACTATAAATGATGAAGTGCAGGTAAAGTCATTTGGTAATTGCCACCCTCAAAGCCATGGAAATGCTCCGCTTTCGGCTCTTAACATTAATTGACAGCAAACTCGTTCAGTCTCTTCCCTTCTTTGCTGAATATAAATACATATATCCAGCACCACAAAAGGTGGGCAATACTACATTGCCATCATTCACATATCACTGCATATAAAACAAAATAGTGTTCCACGTCAAAGCTGATGTTTTAGCTCAAACCATCCAACTATTGTTGACAAACCTGCAACAACAAGGAAAAAAGCATAAACAAACTTATAGGATGCAGATCCTATAAGGGTTTAGGGTATGACAGAACTGAATATAAACAAACTTATAGGATGCAGATCCCATATACTTAACATCCAAAATCACTATAAAAACTGCAAAATATATCTACTAGCATTAAACGGGTATGACAGAACTGAATATAAACTTCAGTTCTTTGATTAACTCTAAAGCTTCTAAAAGACAAAACCATCAAACTCCCTTCCCCCAAAAGGAAAATCACAACATAACTCTTACACTGCAGATACCAACAAGTTCTGTCAATATTCAATTGCAAGCCAAATCCATCCCTCTAAGATTCGATTCCCTAACAGACAAACAGATCCAAGTCTAACACAGTAATCTAACTAGAATTTTTAAACCCAATAATTTTTTTAGAAATAAGTATTATTATATATTCTCTGATAATTCATACACATAATCTATTGTTTTTAAAAAGTTTGTACATATACTACAAATATTCAAGTCTCAATGTAGTTTGAGTTTGTGGACATTTTTTCAGATTTCAACTTCATTCCAAAATATATGGATAATCAAATTCATATTCAGATTTGGCCTAATTCACACCAATTTGACTACTAACATAACTATAAATGTTAGAACTCCTCCAGGAACTAGGTAAAATGCAACATGAGCATCAAAAGCATCTCAAAAGAAAAGACAACAAGAAAAACCGACTCTCCTAAACACGTAATTCTTGTTTGCATTATGGCAAGATAACGTGTCAAACTGTCAGGCAAGATATCCTAATTCTCTCTCTCTCTCTCTCTCTCTCTTTTTCTACACATACACGCACACAGTTTCTATATCATAACTGCTGGACTCAATATGGATGGTTGAGGGGCACAGTAGGTGACATCTCAAATATCCATATATGAACTCATGGGTCAAGAAATATGACCTAAGGCCCTTATGAAACAAATTTGGTCGATTTGGGTTTGTGTAGAGTTCCCATAATTAGAAAATAAGTGACAACATAGAACTCCTCTGTGTTTTCTTCTAACCAGAGTAATTGCCTATAACTAAATGCGAAATGCTTTTAATTATTATTGTCAACCAAATAATTTCTCACTGTGTTTTACTATTCTTAACTTCACATGAACAACATTGGAATCACATCAAACTAATTAATTACTATAATAACAAATACGAAGAACTTTTACAACATATTCTGTCCGAATCTCATCCGAGACTCATGTTCTCATACGTACACATGAAAGACAGCTAGTCTTTCAAATATTTAGTCTCACATAATCTGAGAGTTGTTTAATATATATAAAAAAAAATTATTATTAGTTTACTAATTAAACAGCAAGTCAACACACTTTTTTATTAATAAAGAGACGATATATTAAAAGAGGAAAAAAGCAGAAAAAGTCAAACAACATACAGGGGGCAAAGAAAAACCCCCAAACAGAAACAAAATGAGAAAAAGACATCTCCACAGAGATGAAGAACAACCTAACACAAACTAAAAGGAAGCCGCTTTCCAATCTACCCAAATTCAGGAAAAGAAATTCCCGTAAACCCAGGAGAAACCGAGGCCCAGAAGGCTGACAAAAACCTAATTCTATCCCAAAGCTCAGCAAAACCAGCTCCTGCAGAATCTCCTCCATCCAAATCACCCAAAACACGGCGAATCATGCAACTCCACGTGACCATCACTTTGTTAACCTTCCAAACCAAAATGTGAGCTTCATTATGTGTATTAAAGAATAACATCATAAGATTCGACGTAACCTAGGAGTGCTGGCTGTCAACTACCTGACGCCCTCCCCCTCCTCCTTTATCCGGGCTTGGGACCGGCAATGTAAGATAAACTTACATAGGCGGAGTTGTATTAAAGAATGACATGCTTAAATAAAATAAACTTGACAACAAACTAGGATATTACTGGACTTGCATAAAGTCTGAAAATGTCTAAAATGCTTACTTGTAACTCAACTCACTATACGTATTAAAGAATGATATGCAGTTATTTTCAGAGCGATAAGATTTGGTAGTTACAGGGTAGATGGTTCTGGCGTATAAGCCATATAGGGAGCTCGTTTATATGTAGGCAGATAGTTTTGTATATAACCAGCTCCCTTTGCGTAAAAACTTGAAAACATAATTGTCTATTTTCTATCAAGCAATTGTCCTGTTTTAAATGCATGTTGATGAGGAACCAGTTCCTAAAACAAACATCAAATTCAAGATTTTGGTAGTGCACGGTGCTATGATTGATAAATCAACATAATTGCCTACCAACCTTCCTCTCCAGAACAAAATCATAAATACAATGAATGTTTTGCTTTTTATAGATAAAAATAAGACGGTATAAGTTACTAACCTGCTGTTGCCATGCATTTCACACCAAACTAAAGCTGAGTTCGAGGAAAATAAATATAGAAGATTTGTTCCCTTTGTTGTACCATATATTGGGCCTTGGTATTTGGGCCTCATGGCCTAGCCCATGATGTATGTAGGGGTGAAGGAAACCCTTATTCTATAAAAGGGATCCATCACCCTCACTTTAAGAGAAGCAAACCCTAGCCTCTATAGTCTCCATGTACATTGTAACCTTCATTGAGATAGTGAAACCGAATCGACACCAGTGTGGATGTAGCCCCAACTTGGGGCGACCCATGATATATCTTTGTGTTCTTGTGCGTTTTTTGTGATTTATGGTCGGATTTACATTGATCCAAGATCAACCCGATTTTGTGCATCAACACCCTTAACAGTCCATGTTCTAAACCATTTTTTCATAACAAGGCTGTTGATTGTCCAATATGAACGTAGTCAGGAAATAAACACATACAACGACACAAAACAGTCTAATGCCTCAATCAAGAACTTGAACCCCATAAAGGCACACAGATGGTTCAATTCCCCCAGAAAGAATGCAACCTCTTCTAAACTTTTGCATACCGTAATTTAGCTTGGTTTTCATTATTAACACCCTCTATATGCACTTGCAATAAGAGAGTAGAACTATTTAGCTGGGATCGAAAATTAGTAATCATAATAAATCCCATGAGAAATTCGCCAGGGGTAGAAAATCCCCTATGGCACATTGGAAAGAGAGAGAGACAGAGAGACAGATAGACGAAGAGAAAGAGATTTCCTAGACAACCATAGGATATATACACACACACACACCATCCATGCATTGAATCCTACGGCATGAAAACCGCATACACACCAACGAAAACGAAAACCATCAACAGATTTAAACCCAATACCAGAAATGAATGAAACATCAAAAGCAAAATCCTTAAAAATCCCATGATTATGCAGATCAAACCCCATCTGATAAATCCTGATAAAATCACATTTCCTGGTAGAAGAAACCACAATTCACTCCCCCAGAAACACCATTGAACAAATTCACACAACAAGAACAAACCAGATAAACAAACAAAGCAACAAAAATCCAGAAAGGCAGCTCACCAATGCAATGCATTTCCTGATCAATATGCAGAGAAGACAGATGCACAAAATTGGTGTTAGGGTCTGAACAATTGGTGAAAAACTCGAAAGGGTTTTTCCAATTAGTGATAAATCAGCTGAAAAACAAGCCAATAACCAATTAGGGGAGAAACAATGAAATTTAAACAAACTCACCTTTCGATGCATTTCCCAAACGACATGCAAAGAAGATCAGAGCAGGAAATTGGAAATAGGGTTTTGAAATTGGAGGAGAAAGAGGCAGTGGGTTAGAGTGAGAGGAGATAAGAAGAGAGATAGAGGAGAGAGAGGAAAAAGTGGTCTGCTTTTTATCAGTTACAGTCTAGCAGTAACAACAGAGCAAAAATCTCCAGCAGAAATAACCCGGAAAGTGCTCCTTGTACACCAGATGGCATGTACTCTCCCCTCTCTCCTCTCTTCTCTCTCTCTCTCCGCCACTATGCTTTGTCTCTTTGCATTTCTTGAACCCATAAACCCCCAATATTGGGGTTTATAATATTTTGTCACCCCGATTACTCGGATTGCTTTTATCAGCATTTTTGGTGATAAAAAAAGATTTGTACTTTCGGTGGCGCCGGTATTTTAGACTCTCGTGATGCTGTGGTTTTTGACATTTAAAGATTGTGTTTGTGTGCTCGATCTGCTCGGATGAGTGTTTAGACAGTACATCTTGTTATTTGTTAGCATTTATGGCTTCCGGCAGCTCATTTGGGTTCAGTGCTACTTTTATTTGTAATGAGAAAGACCGTTATGATGAGTTCTCTTTTAAATGCAACGGTAAATTTATGATATGGGCAATCATTTGTAAATTACATAATTAGGTAAGTTTGATGTGAGTAATTAGGGACCACCAAAACTTTCAGCTTTCAAAAAGTATCTTTTCTACCGATGTAAATGACGGTTGTAGTGCTCCAAACTTTCCTAATCTATTTGCTTAAGGAGAAAACATTGTCTTTGTGGGACTGGGATCCCTCTGGATGCGTTCCAAACAGATCCTCCAACTCCTCCTAAGCTGAAGAGAGAGAGCAAGATGAAGAAGATAGAAAGAGAAGGGAGGGAGAGATGGAGAAAATAGAGAGAGGAGTGTAAGAGAGATGGAGAAGAAAGTAAGAGGAGAGTGAGAAGAGGAAGAAGATGAAGAGGCAAGGTGAACACTAGAAAAGAAATTAATTCCTGACCCTTTGATTTTTGGTTGAAAAATAGAATGAAAGAGATGCGGAAGATTTAGATTGAAACGATTCGAAGATAATCTTATTATGTCTTAGTATATCTTACTAGATATCTAGATTTGGAAAAAGAAATGTGAGTTTATGACTCTTCACGTACTCTTTTATAACTTCCTACTTCCAGTTAGTCTAAAGTGATTTTAATAAAAACCGTGGAACAAACCCAATATTGGATTTTGCATGGACTAGCTCAGTGTATAGGCCCTGTTTGGCAGATCGAATAGGATTAGTTATACGGACTCGGGTGTTTAGCGTTCACTCGTACTAAATAAGCGCCGGATTAATTTAACCGGTCGGATAGGATAACACGATATACACCCACTTAATAAAACCAACCAAAACGCCTGGATTATTTAGTCGGGGAAGAAGAATATGGGAGAGAAAGGGAGGGAGTTTGGGGGGTGTGGCGGAGAGAGCTGGGGAACAATTATTTGGGATTCTTCTGCAGTCAGGGAAGAAGAAGGGAGAGAGAGGGAGGGTGTTTGGGGGGTGCGGAGAGATCTGGGAACAAAAAAATGATTTCACTTTTTAAATTTTTTTTTTTTTTAAGTTTGATTCCTCCTATCTAGTATAATACCAAACACAATATAAATAATACGGTCACTAGTCCGATACTGCACTAAACACCCGACTAATTTAGTTAGTACTATCCGGTGGCTATTTATCCTATCCGACAAAAATAGTCAGTACAGTCCGAGCTGCCAAACGAGGCAGTGTTTTAATTATCATAATAATTGAAATTTTCAAATAAAAAATTAAAATAAATGCTTCCAAAAATCAATTTCATTATATTATTTTGTCACCCATTTAATGACAAAAATTATCCTAATCCCAATTTTAGGGAAATATTTTTTATCACCGACGCGATGGTAATGCTTACTACTTTATTTGTTATACTTGGATGAGTTTAAATTTCAAGATATATGTAATAGATAAACAGAAAACTCAAAATTTAAACTCATCCAACGATAATAAGTAGAGTGATGAGCATTATCATCATTTGAGGATGGTGAGTAAAAATACACTCAAATTTTAGTTAGTTCCTGTATCCTTATATTTTTTTTTGTTGACACGTGTCCAACCCCATGACTCGCTAATAATGTCTTGTAATTTCATAACAAGAGTTCGACTCTCGTATTTCTCATGCTCATGCAGCGAACGGGTGTTTTCATTTTTTTTGTTTTGTTTTCTTTGATTGGGCTTTTTGGGATCATGAAGACAAAATTACAAATTGGGAGATAAACACTCATAAGAGATAATATTGGACTTCTACAGTCGGCCCAAAGAAAAGCCGACAAGGCAAAAAGACTTGGAATTCCTCCATATCCAATATCTGCACACATACAGGTCCCCCGAAGCCAATCTTCTAGAAACAACGCAGAACCCTCGGGAAGGCCAGATGGCACTCCTGTGCCACGTAACCCCTCCTCCCTCATTTCTCTTGCCCTCCAAGCTCAGACCTGCCATCCCTCTTCTCAGAAAGCGCTTCTTCTCCTTCTCCGTCTCTGCAGCCATGGCTTCCGATTCTCCTGCTAAGAAGGTAATCACCGCCACTAATCAGCCATTAATCACCTCACTAATCAGCTACCCCTCTCTCTCTTTATGATTTCGGTGTTTTTTTTGTGGGTGAGATTTTGACTGTGAAAAATGGGAGCAGGTTTTGGTTCCGATTGCCAATGGCACGGAGCCGATGGAGGCGGTGATCACCGTTGATGTTCTGCGGCGGGCTGGAGCCGATGTTACTGTGGCTTCTGTGGAGAAGCAGCTCCGTGTGGATGCTTGCCACGGCGTTAAGATCATCGCTGATGCTTTGATTTCGGACTGCAGCCAAAGCGTCTTCGATCTCATTACTCTACCTGTACATGCACTCTCTCTCTCCCTCTTGTTGTATGCATATATATATATATATATATATGCATATATATATATATATGTATATATATATATATGTGTGTGTGTGTATGTACGTATATTACTGTGTGCATATGAAGACTTTGAAATGTGGCTGCAATTCTTTCCTTTTGAAAGAGCTGATCAAAATGGAAATGTAAATGGGGAAGTTGTGCGAATATTATTATTACTTCCCCACCAACAAGAAAACAAAAGAATATTGTGGAACTACTTAAATTTTTAATAAATTTGAAAAAAATCCCAAAAACTATAAGTTTAATACAAAAAGCCCCTAACCTGTCCACTCTCCATGTACTAATTGATTATTAGTTGTTAAATTCCTTGGTGCCCTTCTCTCATTAGTCATTACAAAGGAAGTTGGCTTTTCTTCTAATTATTGAATTTGAAGTGTTTTTCTCTAAAGTGTAATGTTATCAAGGGATTACAGGTGAAAAGCCCTTAATTTTTTAGCCTTGTGATGCCCGGTAAATTGAATGTTTGTTTCCGGATACCTTGTGACGGACCTGTTTAAGCAGCCGTCTTTAGCTTTTTTTAGTGTAGAGTTTTGGTTGCTCATGTCCAAGTTAAGATGGGGTTATGCATAACATTATATATGTTACTTAATTGCACGATTTTAGTTTCCAAGCAATGTCCAAATGCGCCCGAACAGTTGATATAATCCATAATATGTTAGGGTGGGCGGACTATGGATTTTTATCTGTTATTGCTTCTGTCATTCTCCTACCAGCTTCTTCCGTCCTACTTCATTGTTTTCTCAATGCATTGTGCTACTTTTTAGGTCCGGTGGAATTTGATTATATCTGTTTTTATGCTGTAGGGAGGCATGCCAGGTGCTACTAATCTTAAGAATAGTGAGGTCCTGGAAAGTTTGGTGAAGCAGCAGGCCACAAATGGGAAGCTCTACTCTGCTATATGTGCTTCACCTGCAGTGGCACTTGCCTCATGGGGTGTGCTGAAGGGACTGAAGGTACGATCTTTGAGCATCTCCAATATTTCATTACTTATTATTATACATATTAAAATTGTAATTAGTGTTTTTTATTTTATTTTTTGAAATGACTAAATCTGGACTTGTGGGCTCTATTGTCTTTTAACAGGCAACTTGTTATCCATCTTTTATGGAGCAATTAGCATCTGGTGCAACCGCTGTTGAGTCAAGAGTGCAGCTGGATGACAAAGTTGTGACAAGTCGTGGACCTGGTACTACCATGGAGTTTGCTGTTGCACTGGTCGAGCAATTATATGGGAAAGAAAAAGCTGATGAAGTTTCTGGGCCACTGGTATATGCTTTCTCAATGTACTACTTATTGATTGGTTGTATTATTCTCCTATCCCCTCCCCCAATCTAAGGGGAAAAAAATGAATGCATAGAAGATGTGGAGTTAGTACAATGGAGACGAATAAGGGAAAGAATGAGAACGACAAATTCATTGGAATTTACCATAAGCAAGCAGTTTGTGAAAAATTGGATAAACTGATAGCTTTGATTAAATGGAGAAAAAATTCTAGAGGATGAAACTTATATTTTGTAAACATATTTGACAAAAAGAAAAATAGAACTATCTGCACACGGTTCATAAATAAGAAAACTTAGGATAGAGAATTCAGACACATGATATGGTTAGTATTGAGCTGAAGAGGTGACTATATAGTTATACTAGTGGGGTTGAAGTGCCTGTCTAGTATGGACCCTTTTTAGCTTAGCTTCTTAGTTCAGAAAGCCTTTGTGTTGGGCTTTGGCTTAGGTTACTTAATTATAAATTAAGCTTGATTCTTTAACATGCATGCTCGATCTGCCTGTACACAACTTGGATTTTATTAAAGGCCTACCGCGTAATTGATTGGGTGGAGGTGGTGATTCCTGCCTTGCGGTGTCATTCTGCTAATTCTTGTCAAGTGATTTTGAAGCCATTCATTGTTTGGTTAAATGAAAACAAAAATGATCTGTTGTGATCTGGCTTCAACTGCTAGGCCGCTACCCTTGATTCAAAGCCCAAGTGGCTGGAGGCTAAGCTTCTGCAGTTTAGAATGTTGTTTTGTTTCTGATGGGTATGCAACTGCATTTTGTACGCAGGTGATGCGTTCCAACCATGGTGATGAATATATCATAACTGAGTTAAACCCAGTTGAGTGGACTCCCCATGATACCCCAAAGGTAAATTTTTTTTATTGTACAGTATATCTTTTATTGTGTATCGGATGCTGTTACTTTAATTTGTTGTTCTTTTGTTGGTTCACTCTTCAAAGATGCATGAAATTTGAGAACAACATTGTGTGTGGATTTCTTTGTCTGCTTGCTTTGGACTGCTTTTGAATAATTTTAGGCTTTTATCTCAAGTTGCATTTCAGACGAGGTAGGAAAGGGTAAAATCCAAGTTCAAATCTTGTTGTAAGCAACCTGAAAAAGAGAAGCCATATTAGAGTGCTTTACTTGATAGTGACTTACATATGGAAATATCTCTAGGATTCTTTCGAGTTTCCATAAGTGTTACGCAAATTAGCAACTAAAGGTTGTGATATCAGAGTAAGATTTTTTTATACTTGGTTTAAGGTGCTATATAATGTGCATTTTAACCTCTTTTGTCTTTGTTATCCTTTAGATTCTTGTACCTATTGCGAATGGCACAGAGGAAATGGAAGCTGTTATGATTGTCGATATTCTACGACGAGCCAAAGCGGATGTTGTAGTGGCCTCTGTAGAGGATAAACTAGAAATTCTTGCTTCCCGCAAAGTTAAACTGGAGGCGGATATCTCCCTTGATGAAGCTGCCAAACTTTCATATGACCTAATTGTCTTACCTGTAAGTCGGGTTCTAGCTTGCTACTGTTTAACCATTACTCTACCTATTCATTAGTCCAACAACATTCTGATGTTTTTTTCAGGGTGGACTTGGTGGTGCCCAAGCATTTGCAAAATCGGAAAAGCTCATGAAATTGTTAAAAAAGCAGAGGGAATCCCAGAGACCTTATGGAGCAATATGTGCCTCCCCAGCTCTAGTTTTGGAACCCCATGGCCTACTCAAGGTATCCTTTATAAGGTGTTTAGAGAACTTCCTTTTTTTGCTTAAAAATGGCCACTCAACTAACTCTGGTGCCACCATTAACGTTGAACAACCTGAAAATTCTGACTGCACCTCGTATAATTCAATGGTGTACTAACTCGATCTATTCATGATCAATTCACCGAAACGATCTGCTTCTTGCATTGTTGCAAACTCATTAAAAGAACTTATGTCCATTCAAATTGGACATTTGTCCATCTCGGCATACATAATTAAGTTTCTATATGTGCTGCCCCTTTAGCGTTTGCTATTGTTAATTTTTTTTTTAATTATCCATGTATGAACTTTGTTTGACTTTGATCCAGGGTAAAAAGGCCACAGCATTCCCCGCAATGTGCGACAAGCTGTCGGATAAAAGTGAAATCGAGAACAGGGTAGTGGTTGATGGCAACCTCATCACCAGCAGAGGACCAGGAACTTCAATGGAGTTTGCTCTTGGAATTGTTGAGAAGTTTCTCGGTCGCGAGAAAGCGATAGAGCTTGCAAAAGTGATGCTTTTCGTTTATCCTTAGAGCTTATGTTCGTGTATAATGTGCGCGCCCATATATTCGGTCCACGACTACCAAAAGCAGAAAGCTGGCTTCGTATTTGAGTATGAATCCTTCGTGCTTAACTGAGTTCGTATATAAATAAATGTGTAGAGGACTGAAATATTATAGTTCTTTGGATAAGTTTTTGAGTTTCACCGTGTGCTGAAGAGTTTGTGTTACAACTAAAAGAGAGTTTCATGTATAATTTTGTGGTATCTCGTTTGTTTAGGTTGACAAGCTCATGGACCCTACATATTTGCGTTTGATAATCATTTTGTTTTTATGTTCTTTTTCGTACACCTTCACTCTTCTACATTTCTACGTCGCACATTTCTCTTCTTATTTTTCTCTATCGTTTGTACAGAATTGAAAACTGAAAACGACATGATTATTAGATCGCCTCTTTGTTTCAAAGCACATGCGTGAACACTCTAGAGAACTGAATTTTTTGTGTGGAAATTGTGGAAACTAAATTACAAATGCTCATTTCCAACCTCCTAAGGACAGGATTAAACAATCCGCAAACATTTATGTTTGACGTGTTGGGTTGAATTATCGAAGTTTCTGTCAACTGTCATCTTCCCAACAAAGGATAACGAAACAAATAAATAAACCCATACCAAATAAGAAGGACCCGATGTGTTTGACAACTTGACAAGTATGCATCATGGGATCTGTAATACTTTAATGTATTTATCTGATCCAAACCGTCTATCTTTAAGGTCTTCTCTCGAAGATCCTGTTCCAAAAAATCAACCAAACTTGAGACTATATGATTGCTTAGATTAAAAGTTTAGTTCTTCGTAGAACTGTATTCGTCTATTTTCTTAACTAAAAATGAATGCTTTAATGATTTTGGGTTTGTCTAACTTTTCTCAAGAAAGATTTATGAATGATATTAAAAGATAAACGGTTCCGGTTGTTAAAATGCTAGCTCCACAAAAATATGTGAAAAAAAATTGTATTATAAAACACGAATCCGCCCCCAATATAAAATATAATGTGATTTACAAATTTGACATGTTTTGTTAAGATATCTTCAATCATACTTCTTCCACATTTAATCACTCAAATAGTTTAACTATCAAATGTCTAAATTATCTAGGCAAAGAATATTACCCAAATAATTTTGATAAATGTAGAAAAGGACGTCATGATGTTGCTCACGGTAGGCTACCATTGGTCGCAGTTGCGAAGTCACGAGGAAATGGCAAATTTTGAAAGGGCAAAAGGTCGTTGTTGGTCGTTGACTGGTTCAAAAAAAAAAAAAACAAATTTTCGATGCCAATCACCCTTCGGTTTCGATTAAATCCTCGTAGTAATCGAATTTTTAAAAAGTTTAATAATCCATTAAATTAAATATTTTTTTTGTCAATTCAGTGCATACGTAGTTTACAAGTTGGCACATATAAAGGTCTCAAGCTCATATTGTCATCAATTTAATAAATTATCGTACAGTTAGTTAGGCTGAAGACTAAAATTACTGCACTTAAAATATATCTTTTAATGCCTTATGAGATATTTAAAACTTTGTGACTCATTTTATAAATCACTCCAAATTTGAAGAGCGTAAATTGTAGTTAACCTATTTTTTGAAGGTAAACTCCAAAGACATACGTTCTTCATTTTATTACTCATTTGAACAAAGATCTAAACGAACAATCACAATTTATCCAATATCCACACACAAGTAAGAGATAGAATTATGTGCTAAATATTTTTATATTCATATGTACAAAATTACTTATATTGCCTATATATATTTAACGAGTCAGAATCAGGGGATATAATTGTCAAAAGAAAATTATAGTAATGGTCTCTCAACTTTAACGAAAAGCTCCTGATACTGTTTACTTTAACGAAAAACCATATTTTTACACTAAAAAATCAATTATAGTACTATTTAATTTACCCTTTATTTTATCCTTATTATTAAAACTCAAAATTTTCAAATAATTTTTATTAGTTTTTCTATTAAATAAGGGGAAGTACCCAATTTCATTAAAAATAGTGAGCACATTTGCTGTACACATGTTCCGCAAGATGAAGGCCTGGTTTGGTACTGAGGTGATTCTGAAAAAAGTTGATATAAAAAAAAACTAGGAGTTGTTTTTGTATTTGGTAAACATTGAGCTTCAACTTTTTTTCATAGTTTTGGATGAAAAAAAGCCAAAAACAAGAAGCTGCAAAACCCAGTTTTGAAAAATCGGCTTTTTTCACATATGTTTTACATAAAAGTTTACCAAACACTATAATACTGTTTTTTTTTTTCAAAAGCATTTTTACAAAAAAGTTTACCAAACACTCTGCTTCTTTATTTCACAGCTGCTTATTCTCACAGCACAGCAAAATCAGTTTTTTTTTAAAGCACAACAATACCAAACCAATTTGAAGCTCCTGAAGCCATCAGAGAAGATGGAGATTTCACTTGAGCCTTTTGGTTTTGAGCTCTCACTGTTTCTCCGGAAGAAACTGATCCAATTTGCTCCGATAGGATTGGTCAACATGGTGGGAATTTGAGGAATATGAGATTGTGCATGGAGGAAGTTTCAATTGGGGATGAGTTTTGCGATCAATCGATTTCAACCCCTGGAAAATAATATGTTTCATAATTTGCCTTTACAATCAGTCTCGCGTATTGACTGAATTTAACAGAATTATTGACGGTGTTAACGAAAATGACTATAGTTATATATTTTAACAAGTTAAAGGATTAATGATCACGAAATAAAATTGAAGAACGTTGAATTAAAATTTAAGGACCATTAATACAAGTTCCTTAATTGTGAATTATATTTGGTTACTGCTCTATTAGTTTTGAAATGGGAACGTTACAGGGTGTGCGAGTGTGAAGAGGTAATGGGTGATCAGTGGTTCCACCTATTATAATTATTTATTTATTTTTTGACTCAATAAAGTCAAACGTTGTTGTCCCACTTAGGAATTAAAATTTTTTATTTATTAGGATTAAAACGACGACGTTTTGGTTTGAATTTAAAATAAAAAATTATAATCCTTCGCCCACGTCTGCCGTGCAACACAAACCAGAGCAGCAAACCGGATTCCATCGCTTTTGATGGGACTAGACGAGCGGAATCACTGGTCCTGAGCTTGATTTCCAATTGTTTTTTGGTTTCTTCTCAGTCTACCATTATTCAAAGCACTTACATGGGTTTTTGTCAAATTTTCTTCTGACTTTTATCACCATTGCCTTTTTCTTAAGGATATCAATTTTATCGACTTATTTGACTTACATGAATCTTTAAATGGTTTACAAATCAAATACAAATTTAGAAATAATTTTCAAATGATGATAAAAATAATGATTTAGATACCCGCATTGGGAAGGATCTTTTTCCTAACAATAGTAAATAGATTATTTGTCACATCTCGACCTGGACGGGATCACTTTCCGGACTCGACTTCATCGTAGCATGATATTGGCCACTTTGGACCCCCAGCACACCCTCACGGTTTTGTTTCTGAGAACTTACACGAGAACTTTCCAGTGAGTCACCCATCATGGGATTGCTCTCGCGCGCTACTCGCTTAACTTCGGAGTTCCGATAGAACCCGAAGCCAGTGAGCTCTCAAAAGGCCTCATGCTAGATAGAAATAAGAATAAACATATAAGGATCACTCCACTGAACGATGTGGGATGTCACATTATTGGAATTACAGTTTACAACTTTACTCGTATTCATATACATTTGTTTTGTACGTTAAAGATTTTAAATTTAAATGTTACAGATGACAAATATTAATATTTAATTATGTTAGTCATTGTATTTGTACGACTTAAATTCAATATTGTTGAATAAAATAATCTAATTAGGAAAATAATGCGGTGAAGAGTCGAACAAGATTTTATTTTTTAAATACAACTGGGTTATTATATTTAAAAAGTTGGGAACTATTTTAAGCCTTCTTTTGAACAAATGATATTATTTCAGAGCAGAAAATAAGTTAAGCGTGGTTTACAAAATAAATCCAAAATTAAGACAAAGAATTTCCATAACCCTACACAATTTCCACCAAGTCGATATTTTGTGTTCAGAGTTCAAACTGTTGGATAGAGAAAGAGAGATTCTTAATTTAAAATCAGAACCGCTAGTTTTAAAATAAATGGTACGAATCTCCAATCCCGTACTCCATCAGGATAGGATCTCAATTCTTCCAAACCGTGCAGGCTTGCACAGCTTGCAAGATTGGAGGTCAATGCCAGCAGAAAGGAGAGAATAGTCAATTCGAAAATTCCATAGACGTTATTTTTCATTTCTCGGAAGTTCCAAAGATATAAACATCACGAAACCCAGTTTTACTTTTATTTTGTTTCATCTCTCTCTCTCTCTCTCTCTCTCTCTCTCTCTATTTCTGTTGCAGTCACCGCAATTGAGGTTCTTTATGAAAACCTTATACTTTATCTGGGTTTTACGTGTTCTTTTCTGTTTGGTAGCTGAGAAAATGTGAAAAAAGCCAAGACTTTTTAACCTTTTGACTTACCCATTGGAAAGAAGAAGAAAAGAGATAGACTTTTGGATCTGTTTGTGGCCTCAGCTGGGTTCTTAAACCCAAAAGAATGGTGGGTTTCTCTTTACAGTTGCTATGCTTCTAAAAAATATGGAAAGATCATATTTTGATCAATCCAAAAACTTATATTATGCTGGTTTTAGTTTTTGTTCTGCAGACGGATACTTCAAGGTTGAAATATAAGCAAACCCCAAGTGCAATTGGATTGAACATTTATAAGGTAATTAATGTTGAAGCAAATTCTTCTCTTCTTTTTCTTCTTCTTCATCTGCAATTTCAATTTTGGTGGCTCTTAGATTGACTTTTTTATTTGCAAGTTGGTCGAAACAATAGATGTCTTCTGTTTTGTTTGTATTATAATTGAATGCATTGAGAATTAGAAGGATGGTTGACTACAAAATCACATTTGATTGCCTGCCAAAAGCTTCCTTTCCAATCATGAAAGATGAAACCATGTTTCTAATTCTACTCTCTGCTAGTTGCTAAGCTGCCCTGTGCTGAATTGTAGTATTTGATTAACGAATTCAGTTTTTCGGCTTAAAATGTTGTGGGATGCTGGAAGTTTCGTGTTAATTCTGCGTTTGGTCGTTATGGAGGCAGACATGAAAACCGGTATATTTCCTTGAATTACTTTGGTAGTTGGTCTAAGTGTTGATAGTAGATTGACTGAGGGACTCTACTAGAGAACTGAACTTCTGATTGATCTTATAGGGCGTAAGAGTCTACGGCGTTACTGGGTGCATTCCCAGACCTTACTGTGTTGGGGTATCTCTCTAGTGTTTCCCCTTAACGTTTGGCAGTTCAGATGCGTAGGATTTTTTTTGTTGTCTTTTGATACCTTGAGTAAGGAGCCCTCAATGTTCAAAAGAAAACAGGTTTAGGCTATGGTTAAAACTTATCATGGGGTACCGAGGATGTGCAAACTTCCTCTTACCGTTCATGTTTTTAAGAGATTTCATTTTTCGAAAATTCCCTTTTTGATTCTTCCGATGTATAGGTTGTAACAAACTATAAGCAGCAACTCAAATTTCAAGTCAAAACTTTGCTACTGAAGTTACAGAGATTTCTAGAAGAGGCAGTTTCAGTAAACACGTGCTATTGCATATGCAAGCATCTTTAATCATAATTTAGGCAACGATTTACAATGCTGCGGGTATTCATCTTTTCCAGTTGCTAGATAGTACATGTAGATTAAAGAGGCCATGTTGATTTGCAATTCGAGTTCATAAGCTTTAGTTTTTCTGAGAGTCGCATCTTGTCTAAGCGAATAATGACTAATGCATTGCTGAGTACTCATCTGTCTTCCTCCTAAATCCAACAGATCATGCAGGTGTAGTTACATCACAAAAAGTTTATTTTTACTTGTGTACGTTGACAGGGCAAGGATTTTGATTGATTGGTGATATTGGCCAACATAAAAAGCTGGTGATGTCTTGTTTCTCTTTCTTGTTTAGAAAGAAGGAAGCTTCCCGTGTTAACCGGCCTGTTGGAATTGTTAACCGGCCTGTTGAAATCGACGAAGGTACACTGTGGACGTGTTTATCCTGTCATTCCTTTTATAGAGAGTATGCACATACTTTCAGTGTCAATATTAGTTACTTAGGCACAATGCCATCTGTCAAATTAGCTGCTCAGTGCAATTGTGAAATGGATGGAGGACTTTTCTAGGTCATACATGGATCTTCCAAATGGGAGGAGCATTTTCTATGTTAAGCGCTTTCATTTTATTAGCGTTACTGATTTCTGAATCCGTTGAAGTTTGTGACTACTCAAAGCCGAAATTACCAAGTTCCCTCCATTCAGATAATTGTTCCCTTTCAATTATTCTTTTTATGGATGACCGGGCTTCTTTTCAGAATCTGTACAACCCGGCCTTTTCACTGAGTCAAATGGTCATGCTAAATCAACTAGTTATGTTTTACTTGATTTTGCTTTTTATTACGCACTCAATATTTTTTTGGATGAAATCTTCTTTTGTTTACTTTGTTCAACTTGCATGCTGTTGAACTAAACGCTGTTAGTAAGTTTTAGCTTTAACTTGAATTTGGGCGGTTTACCATTCTATCTTCAGCTACCTAGACGCTTCTAATAGATTCTTATGGGTACAGTGGTTTCAGGCGTTTTGAATGTGAAGCAGTACGGTTATAGGGAACTGCAAATTGCCACTGAGAACTTCAGTGAAGAAAATAAAATTGGTCAGGGAGGCTTTGGCTCCGTGTACAAGGTACTTGCGCCTAAAGTTATTTTGCTTATGAGTATTGAGGAATACTCGGTCTTGAGCACTTAATTGAGCTAAAGACTTTTTCGTTGACTTTTAACTCTACGGGCTAAGAAATTATTGCAAAATGTGTTTGATCAGGGCACACTCAAGGATGGGACTTTGGTGGCTATAAAAGAATTGTCAGCAGAGTCTAGTCAAGGATTGCGGGAATTTTTAACAGAAATCGAGGTGATTGCAACCGTTGAACATGATAACTTAGTTAAGCTATATGGTTGCTGTGCAGAAGGAGATCACAGAATATTGGTTTATGGCTATCTTGAGAATAATAGCCTAGCACAAACACTTCTTGGTAAGCAATGTTACTTGTTCCTTGTTCCTTATTTGAATGAATGATTTGTACGGGTAAGGACTTCATCCTTCTGTACTTTATAGGTAGAGGCTACAGCGGTATCCAATTTACATGGCTTACAAGGTGTAAAATTTGCATTGGTGTTGCGAGGGGGCTCGCTTATCTCCACGAGGAGGTTAGCCCTCATATTATTCACAGAGACATTAAAGCAAGCAATATTCTCCTTGATAAAGACCTCTCACCAAAAATTTCAGATTTTGGTCTTGCAAAGTTTATCGCCCCCAACTTGACTCATGTTAGCACTCGTGTTGCTGGAACAACGTAAGTTTGCCATTTCCAGTGCTATTCTCTTTCTAGCAGTGTATCCGAGAATGTAACAAATTGAAGTCCTGCCCATAAGTTTCCACCAAACTTCTCGCTCTACTTTATATTTTTTCACATTTATCAAAATACTTGTGATTATATTGACATGTTTTGTTCCCTTTTCTCTCTCTCTCTCTCTCTCTCTCTGTACTTTTTATTTTATTTCACATTTATCAAGTTACTTGTGATCATATTGACACGTTTGGTTCCCTGTTTGATTCCTGCAGAGGTTACTTGGCGCCTGAGTATGCCATACGAGGTCAAGTGACAAGAAAAGCAGACATCTACAGTTTTGGTGTTTTACTGTTGGAAATTGTTTGTGGGAGGTCTAACACTAACAGACAGTTATCACCCAAAGATCAATATCTTCTTGCACGGGTATGGACATTTCCATGATATTGTATTTATGACTAAATTGAAGCCTTTTGACTGGTATATAGCTTTTACACGTGGGTAATAATCCTCGAAAAAAGAATAGTATACGAAAGCCTCTAGGCATTTAATCTGTAGTTAACGTTCACTAGCCTTGAAAGAAAAGCTTGCCAATTTCTTGGCCTGCAGCAATGGTGCGATTGATTACACTACTGCACATGGAAAATTCCTTGAATTTGTGAGGGTATCAATATTAGTACTAGAACATGGTTTTCAGACTAACAGAATATGTTAAAACTCATGGGACGTGTTTTGTGTTCATGACTGTGCCAGAGTCTCTTGATGACTCCATCGAGCTTCTTTAGGTGCCTAGTTTAGAGAAAACCCATCACGTATTTTACGATTAGTCTCTTTATTTTCATTTCCTTGGTTAGTCTTTGATCCACAATCTCTTAAAAGTAACTCGGTACCTCATCATCTCTTGTCAGAACATGTGTAGTGATTAACAAGTTCACAATTACTACTAGAATCTTGAGCAGACTTATCACATCCAAGTTCCTGTTGCAGGCATGGGAACACCATGAGAGGGGGCAGCTGGTGGAATTAGTAGACGCATCTTTGAATGGAAATTTCGACGTTGAGGAGGCTTGCAGATTCCTAAAGGTTGGCCTTCTCTGCACTCAAGACATGCCTAAGCTCCGACCATCCATGTCTACCGTTGTTCAAATGCTGACAGGTGCATTAGATGTGAATGAGGGGAAGATATCCAAACCAGGGCTGTTTTCTGAATTTATGGGGCATACAGAAGGTGGGAGAGATAAGGCCAACAAAAGAGGTCCATCTCACACGATATCCACCTCAGGGAAGTTTATCAATTCATCATCTTCATCAGAAGCTGCCGCCACTTCATTTGCTACTATGACCTTCAATTCTATATATGACCGAAGCAATTAGGGCAGTCAGGATCCATCCATTTTTTCGAAATTTTCTCTGGTTTGGTCAGGCTGTAGGCAATTTAATTCTTCTAGGTTATATAGGGAAACAAGGAGTAATATATATTTTTACGTGGATACGAATGTCTTCCTAAGAACTAGCCAAATCATTTTTCAGGTGTAAATGTTTCTTGTCAATCGAACTTTCATTTTTTTCGGGTCTGTAAAGAAGGCTTGACTACATACAATTCTTCCATGCTTTACTTCGAGTCCAAGTATTGTGTGGCAGTGCTCCGTTCTCGTCTTCAGACAGTTTCTTTCGAATTGTTGTAGATATGGATCGAAATGCATTCAAGAAATAAAAACTAGTCATCAAATTTAAACATGTCATCTTTTAACTGGACTATTCTCCCACATTGCCCTGGCATGTGGCGGAAAACATACCCGCGAAACTCTTCTTCGTCTCATGAGCATCTGTTTATGCATCACTTTTCTGCTGCTAAGTTAAAAGATTTAATTAGACGCGACAGATGAAGACATTTTCTTCTTCAAACTTATGCTGATTTGCTACAAGCCTTCCCACAGGGTAATGTATTACTGATAGACATTGAAACGGGATCAAAAGTAGAACTTCCGGTTGGACTCGAAGTCTCGAAGTGAACCAGTAGGTTTCGAAGGCATGCGAAAATCCGAAACTTCAATATAAGATGTGATGTTAATATTTCATAAAAGCTGAACATTTTCGTACGAAGATGATACAATAGTTTGAATGTTTGATCATCCTAAAAAAATTTGAACGAGAAATTGCATAAGTGATTGTATATCTTTTGTGCAGATATATAGGTAAATATATATATATATATATATATATATCTCTAGCTAGCTAGTTTCTATTTCTGCAGCATCTGCACCACAGAATGAGAAAACAAAGCACTCTATAACCAATTATGAATACCAGCATCACACCCAAATTGCTCCATTTCTGTGCTTCTTTTAAACCCTGCTGTCTCAAGAACTCGTCCCCGAAAAGATTGCATCCTTCATTGCCAATCTGTTGAATGCATCTCCTTCCCTGCTCTCCTCCATACTCATTTATCATAAAGCAATCGAACGGGTACTTGAAAAGACTCAAGTAGTGCATGAATATCCAGTAGCTTGGGAGCCTGTCCTTTGAAATGAAGTATCCGGAAAAGAGAAAGAAAGATCCCATGAGCCCGGAAATCAGGGAACTGCCCATGATGAAGTTGGGCACAAGAGCACTGAAGCAGGCCACAACAGAATTGGACATGAGAAGAACCATCCAGACCACCAGAGAGAAGTAGAGGAATGCATCAATGTCCCTCCTCAATCCGACTAGCCAGTAAACCGGTGCGGTGAACAGAAAACAAACCATCAAAAGGAAAGGGAGAAAAATGAGGGTGTTTGCTATGACATAGGAGGAAACTCGATAGGCTCCCTTGGAAGTCTCACTCATTAGTATTCTTCGCTCTTGTAAGAAAATCGGTAGGCCTTCTGTGCTGGAAGACAGCAAGAATGTGAGGCTGAAGGCGAAAAATCCAGTTTGTGTTTGCAAGGCAAAGCTCCCTTTTTCCGTTCCAACATTAAAGAAAATGCTTCCGAGTACGAATCCAGCTACCAAGGCTTGTATAACTCTAGTGACAAACAATTGCTTGGTTCTAAATATGTTGCTACAAAATCTTTGCCCTAGTATTACAACTTCCCGGGGACGCGAATTTGGGTAGACTGGAAGCTTCTTTGCAAAGATACCAGAGCATACAAACCTTCGTTCTAGAGGCCGGAAACATTGGTTGCGCAAGGTTTCTGAAGTTTGTGCACCCTCCAAGCTCTCGATAACATCAATGGCGAATTCGAGCAAGTTAACATGGTTGGGGATGCGATGGCCAGCTAAATTGAGCGTTTCTTGTAGAAGACACAATGATCCATTGTGGATCACAGTTCCACTTGAAAGCAGAACAACGCGATCGAACATCTCTAGGATTCGGAAACCTGGTTGGTGAATTGTCAGGACAATAGTTTTACCCTGATTGAAAACCATTGTTCTGAGCAATGAGACTACATGGAAAGCTGAGGCAGAATCCAACCCTGAAGTTGGTTCATCAATCAAAACCACAGCTGGATTATGAACTAAATCAACTCCAATCGAAACCCTGCGCCTTTCACCACCCGAAATCCCATTGTTTGATCCCCAGCCGACTCTTGAACCCGCGACATGTACCAGCCCGAGCTCCTTCATCAGCTTCCTCACTTTATCTGCAGCACTTTTCCTCCCACCGGGAAGCCTCAGCAGAGCACTGTACATGAGGGTTTCTTCAACTGTAAGTAACGGAAATAGGGCATCGTCCTGTGCGACATAGCCCGACATTCTGCGAAAACTTTTCGTGTCCATAGGCTGACCATTCACCAGCACCTCACCACACACTTTCTTTGGGGATATCTTTCCAGCAAGAATCTCTAGCAGTGTGGTTTTTCCAGCTCCACTAGGGCCAGCAATTGCAGTGATCCCTGCAGGCCTTGCTTCACAATTCACATCCTTCAGAATGAATTTCGGAACTCTCCTCGAGCTCTCCCTGCAACACACGAATTTCATCTCATCGAATCGGGTTGATAATTTGTAGCACAAATTTCTGGTTTCAAGTCTGTATGGCGTTCTCAGGCTGCCGGAAACCGGCATTTTCACAGGCAACTCCATGTTGTGGGGGGAAGAGTGGAAGTGAGAGAGAGAATGTGATATTTGTGGGGTAGTGTAGATGAAATGGAGGAGATGAGCTAACGCACCAAACTGTTTGTTTGCTGTACAAGTTAGGGTAGAGGAGAAGCCAAAGCTTTGATACTTTTGCTTTCCTTCTGTTTTCTTGTTGGCAAACATAAATTCTGGAGTAACTTTTCGATACACTCAAAATACACTCACGTGACATTATTATTTCACTCAAGTCAAACTCATAGATTTGTTTTTTTATTAATATACTTCAAAAATTAGACATATCAACTATATCGTTCATTTTTATTATAACATGTAAAATGATACACCACGTGACTTGTGTTTCAGATATGCGTATAAAATTCTCTTAACTTCTGATGGGTGGTTTGGAGAAAACCCAAAGGAAGAAAGTGCGTGACTCCTTTTGGGAAGTTTGTTCAGGTGAGCAGAATATTGACTGCAGGGTTGATGCTGGTTGCTTCACTATCTTCCACACACTAACTGCATCACCATATCATGCCAGTTTGGTGGGAATTTTTCTATATTTGGCCAATTAGTCAATTACAACAAATTGAGTGGCCAAACTTTGAAATAAAAAAGGTCATCCTCTTGGATAAACGTGCAGCCAAGCCCATCTTGGTTCGATGGGCCTTGCCAAGTAAGAAAGGGAAGGCTTGCAGGTTTTGTCCTAGTTTCTCTTGCAACGTAAATTGAACTCTAATAACTTGTTTATAAGTGCTTTTAAAATGATTAAAAATTATTTTTGTGAAATTGATTTTGAGTTTCAAAAGATTAGATATGTGCTTCTAGCATGAAGCACTTAAAATGTTTTCTCATGATCCACTTGGATTTTTACTAAAGATTGGTTCAAAAATAATTTTATCAAAAACATTTTCAATCATTTTACAATTTCATCAAAATCGATTCTAGTTATTTTAAGAGTATTGCCAAACAAACGAAAAGTGAAATGTAAACTTACTTCTTTGACCTTCCGTCGTCACTTTGGAGAATGAAACGTAAACTTACTTCTTTGACCTTCCCTCATCACTTTGGCTAATCTAGAGAGCTCCGTATCAATCAAATTTTACTTGTTCTTTTCTTTGTGTTCTTTAATTTCGTTAGGCATTTTGGGATGATCTGGGCTTTTGCCAAAGTAAGAAAGATGTTTTGCTCGTGGGTATTGTTATTTTTCTTTCAAATAGTGGGAACCTCCTCCTAAGAATTGGGTAAAGCTTAATATTAACGGGCGTCGCAAGAGGATGATCAGTTTCATTGGTAATTCAGAGTGTTTTTATTGGGCTACAAATTGTACGAAGTAATGAAATTAAGAAGATTATTGTAGAATCGGATTCTGCACTTATAGTGGACTTGAATTTAAATGCACAAATGGATAATCATCTTCTGAAAAGTTTAGTATTGCCGTGCTCTTATGCAATAAAGTTGGTCTCTTGAAATTTGACATATTTATTATGAAATATTTCATTTGTTCCTGATGGTTTGACTCATTTAGGTTTATCATGCAATTTAAATCTGATCTTTTTTTAGCAAATTCCTCATTCTTATGTAATTTTTTTTATTGGGAAAATTAATGAAAATGACTTGAAAACTGTGAGTTTTAACGAAAATTAGTAAAGTGAATAGTTCCATGATTCATTTTTTGTTAAAATGAACAGTATTGGAACTTTTCGTTAAAAGTTTCGTTTTTTTTTTTGGACTTGATGCCCCGCTGTCAAACAAGAAGAAAAAGTTGAAATGACTCAAATGACCATGAGAAGATAATTGGAATGCCATTTTGATATAGTGATAAACAGAAAATCGAGGGGTATTTAAGAAACTTAGCATCACTCAATCGGTGCGATAAATTCTCCGGAAAAACCCTGATACCCCCTTATCTCCCACTCTCACTCTAGGGTTTATCAGAGCCCCAAACCCTCGTCGCGATCGACCATGGCGACCCATTTCTTCTACCGCTCGCTTCCCAAGACCCAAGCCATGGCATCATTTCTCTCCCGCTCCCTCTCCACCGCCACCTCCGCCGCTTCCCTATCCACCGCCGCCCAATCTCGTTCTTCTTCGCTCTCTCTCCTCCACCGCCTCCGCCCCCTCGCCGGAGTCATGGCCTCCGCCGGCAGGCTCTCTCCTGCGGTCGTCCGGTGCTTGTCCACCAGATCGACCACGTCGTCGCTCAGAGACCCAAACCCTAACTGGTCGAACCGGCCTCCCAAGGAGACGATCCTCCTCGATGGGTGTGACTTCGAGCACTGGTTGGTTGTCATGGAGCCCCCTCAGGGTGACATCACTAGGGATGAGATCATCAATAGCTACATCAAAACCCTAGCTACCGTCGTCGGAAGGTAACACCTCCATTGTTTTCTGTCTAAATTAACCATTTTTTTTTTAAATTTTTATGTGTTTGGATTATGAGAAATTGAATTGGAAATGAAGTTTAAGAAATTATATGGCTGTTCTAGTGTATTTGTTTCTTTAATACAGTTTCAGTTGATATCTGTATTTATTTTTACGAAGGTGTAGCTTTTTAATTTTTTTCCTTTTCGATTACGGTAATGTTTTGGGATAATTTGATTCGTATTGCATCAGGAAACTTTTGTTTGAGAAAATACAAGAGGTTATTTCTCTGTTGTGGGGAGGGTTGTATGCACATGCTACATTCTGGCATTATATGGTTGTATGAAACTAGTTCTGTTTTGTGTTACGCACCTGCCCGATTATCGTGTTTAACATTATATGTTATGTTGTGTGCTGTAAAAGATAATGGCTTATTGTTGTATGCAAGTATTGGGATCACTACGGCTGTCGTAAGATGCGAAATCATTTTGTAATTGCAATCGGACTATTATCTTAGTGTTCTTGTAAATAGTATGGTTTTAATCACATCTGTTATAGCATTTCTGGATCCCTTTTTTTTTACAGACCTAAGTTTTTGGTAGATTCATGGCTTTCACATTTCAAAAAGCAAGTAGGATTGTATTGTATTCCTATTGTTTGTGTTCTCTGTGATTTATGTTTTGTAATGACAATTCATATAACCAAGTTTACGTTGCTTGTATGTCGGCGGCTGAACTGCAGTGAGGAAGAAGCAAGAATGAAGATCTACTCAGTTTCAACTAGGTGCTATTATGCATTTGGGGCACTTGTATCTGAAGAGGTGTCACTCAAAATCAAAGGTGATTCTGCTTCTCTGTTGGGATTTTATTATTTCCTTGTGCTTTTGTCTGGGTTCTCATATATGTATTTTTCTAAAATTCTTGCAGAGTTGCCTGGAGTCCGTTGGGTACTTCCTGATTCTTACTTGGATGTTAAGAACAAAGATTACGGAGGTACTGATATGCTTGTTTCTTCAAGTTGCATTTCCATGAAAAACAAATTATTTATAGCAATTGATTATTTTAAGTTGTAAATCCCATTCTGGAATATCACTGGCAGTCTGAAATTTGGATTTTTGATCTATTTCTTTCTTTTTTTTTCTGACAAAGGATAGTTTGAGGCTTTAGAATGTTACTGATGAAAGCTATCCTATAAGGCAGTTAATGCTGTAGCAGTGCTAGTGCTATGTGGAACCCGGGAAATACAAAAACCCCTGTTGAAGGCTTTCTGCAACCCTAGTCAATATTGTGTACAGAGTTTTTCATCTATAACATCACCTTTAGTGCTGATGAACTAACCAGTTTCTTGTGTTGATTGCATCTGAAAAAAATTGATCAATGTTAAATTTTCATTTCATAATTTCTGTACTCCAAGAATTGTGGTTTGGTCACCGAGTGTGATAGTAATATTAAACTGCATTGTGTACCTGTTTCTATATTGTATTCAACTGAGTTAACCAGAAAATTTCTTTTATAAATGATTTGTTTGCCTTCTTGTTTGTTTTGGCAGGTGAACCTTTTATTAATGGCCAAGCCGTGCCATATGATCCCAAGTACCATGAGGAATGGATAAGAAACAATAGTCGAGCAAATGAGAGAAATAGGCGTAATGACAGACCTCGTAACTTTGACAGATCAAGGAACTTTGAAAGGAGGAGGGAAAATACCGGTCCATCTCCTATGCCTAATCAAGCTGGGCCAAATTCAGGACCTGGACCTACCAACATGGGTCCTCCACCCCCCAACAGGGGTCCTCCACCCTCCAATATGGGTCCAGGCCTGATGCCTCCCAACATGGGTCCTCCGCCCCCCAACAGGGCTCCAATGCCGCCTCACAACATGGGTCCACCAAACAACTACAATAATCCCCCGCCAAGCAGCAACTGGAACTCTGGGCCTCCCAACAACTATAATCAGGCACCTCCCAACAACTACAATCAGGCACCTCCCAACAACTACAATCAGGCGCCTCCCAACAACTACAATCAGATGCCTCCCAATAACCCGGGAGGGGTGCCACCAAACAACATGGGTCTGCCATCTAATGCAGGATGGAATGGTGCTGGACAATACCAGAATAACTACACGCCAGACAGGGACGGTGGAGCGAATCCTGGTCCAAACCGTTACTAAGCTTGAGGCTAGCTATATGGTATGATGAGTCTTGTAGGCATGATGTAGATAAACAAGGAGGTTGCTCGAGATGGGCCGTAGGTTGGCATATTGGTGTGGTCTTGAATGATATTTTGTTTGGCAATATTGCTGTGGTCGGAACCTGGTTGCCATTCGTCTGAATTTTATTACATTTTTGAGGTCATATCTTATGCGATTAGTCGTGTCTTTACTTTGGTACATGGTATGAGTTAGCAAACATAATGGCAGAAAGCAGACTGTTTGGTGATCCTGTTTAGATGGTACATGTTAATTTGCAGTCTACTGTGATGATTGCCTGTGTTGCTTCTGTGATGATGTTATTTAGCAAACCCATCTTTTCATCCTATTCATGCGCGCAGCTAACATGGCATAGAGACCATTTTGTACGTTGGCTATGAACTCTAATTATGCTATCTCCATGTCGTCTTTACGATCAAAGAACCCTAACGCAGCGGAAATATAGAGGTTGGTGCTCATTGACCTCTTCTCGGTTCTTAACATGCGCATCAATACGACACTTGTTTGGAGGTGGAGCACCGCAAAGTTTTGGAATCCCCTCAAATGCGGAAGCGTTGAAGTTTGGAACTGAGTGCTTGTTGGGTTGGTCCTACGAGACTATTGCACGAGACAACAAAGCTTTTCAAGAAATTAAGGCTTGCGAGAGACTCAGTGCAAAAGAAGTAGAGGAAGACTTGGAAAGAGTAATAAAAGATATAGAGTAGTTGAAGCGAGCGGAAGATTTGGCGTAAAATTGAGTATAGTGACGTTCTAAGATTCATACAGCAGACTCAATAGGATATGGCTTGGTTGTTGAAGGCTTGCGAGAGACGATGGATTTTCGAGAAAAATGATTTTTGGAGAGATCCAAACCCTTTAAGTTCTTAAGGTTAGATATTTGGTCAGGAATGTTGCCAGAGTAGTTGTTGTCGTCTAGATACAACTCTTTGGCAAAGCCATAGTTGGCCGATCTCAGTAGGTATATTATCGGTAATGTTGTTGGTAGAGAGATCTATCAACGGAGGAAAGTAAGACAATCTATGGGGTAAGCTATCGGGATTTATCACGGCGACCGTGTAAAGAGGCAATTCGAGATCATAACGGTCTGTTTGAGCTGCAATAGGTTCAGGTACCAACACCGGTACTCTACAAAGTTCTTTTGGAAATTCACTTGAAATAAGGTTTATTGACAAGCTTATATGAGAAAGTCTTGGTAGATCAATCCCTAACCGGCTAGGAATTGTCCCTGTGGTTTTGTTACGGTACCTCCCAAAGATTCTTTAGATTTGCTAACCATACAGGTATTCGACCAGTGAGCTCACAACGCGCCAAGTTTAAAAATCGAAACCAACCATGTCATCATGAGATGGCATTCCTTCACTATTAAAGGACTATGAAAGGAGGGGCGTTCGAAGACTTTTGCAACGCATCAATATCTTCATTGCCCCCGTGACGGTTTTCAATCGGTTGTTGCTAAGAGAGAGGAAGGACGCAGAGTTTACCAATGAACTTGCGCTTACATAGGTCAAGTTTAGTAAGTTGAACAAGTTTGGAGAAATTAAGGTTGGTAATGTCTCCTTCCAAGTTATTTTGGTGCAATTCATCAAAGATTAGGGGGGCAACCAACCTTGTTGGTCGTTGAAATCGAGGGTTGTGATTTTTGACCTGGAGAGCCTCCCCAGATGGAGAGGGAGCACGCCGCTCAATTGATTAAAGGAGAGGTCAAGGATTGCGAGGTTGGCAATTCTATCACTAATGTAATGCCTCCATATAGTGAATTTAGAGGTAATGCAAGTTCTTCGAGTTTGGTAGCATTATAGATATCTTCTGGAAGTAGCCCTAAGAGATTATCTTGACCATCTGAAAAATCTGCAGCTCGTACCACCTCCCAAAATCGCGTAAAATGTTGCCACTGAATTGTTTTGAGGAAAAATCCAACACCCTAATCAAGGGGTTAGATTGGAGACAAATAGAGGAAGGGAGGTACCTTGAAACTTGTCAAATTCCCACGAAGACGGAATTGCACCATGGAAGTGATTGCTTCACAAATCGAGCGTGTTGAGGTGACCCGAACTTCAACAAAGATAATAAGCTTCTTTAGGCCTCAAGCACATGAAGAGTTCTTTTAAAATATTCAAGTGAATCTCTGGAAAGCATTGAAGTGATTGTCTGGAAAATGTTGTTGAAAGATCTTTCAGTGATCTTAAAGCGCTTTTAGTTATTTTAAAAGCATTGTTAAACACGCATAACCAAACCTTGGATCCAAACTAAGAATAGAGAAGCAGTGAATGTGTTCATCTAGCCGCGTATTGGTGCACAAATCGGACACCGGACCCCAATCTTAAAAAAGCCTCAAAACGTTCTAAGTTATTTTCCTGCTGAAATGATTTTTCTTGGAAGATTGGATGTTACTCTGTTTTTCTTCTCTTTTTTTTTTCCACCACTGAGATATATCTGACCTATCATCCTCGCAATAGTCATTAAGATGGTGAATATTTTTGCTCATCATCCTCAAGTGATGATGATGCTCATCCAATGATAATAAGTAGGGTGATGACTTGCAGGTGGTGAGATGCCGTATTTATGCTGCAATACTCGTTGATAGTAATTAAGATTGCCCTGGGGATGAGCAAGTGGTTCCATGGCCCTCGACCATTGCTACCACCGAGCACCACCACTACAACCACCCCACCACACCACCACTATAACCCAGTTCAACTGCAGAAAGAAATCTACGACCTATAGGTCTCGTTTGACAGATAATTGACTTGGATATGACTATTCACTATATTAAAGATACTTTAAAGAAGAAACGAATGACAAATTCGTTATCGTGTCCAAGTTGAAAACAGACTACGGTTCTACTTCTATCGTTGATTTTGCATCCACAACACAACCATGCAGATCAATAAATTTGTGCCCAAAACGTAAAAGAAAAACCAAATCTGAAAATTACAATCCATCGACTACACCCGCGAGCTTTTGATCAATGTTAAAACTAAAAGAGAAAAATCATGCGACATCCTATAAGTTGTGAGATATCTGCAGCTTAACACCATAATGCAACCTGCATGGATATTGGCAAGGCAAGCCGGATACTGGCAGGGCAAGAGGGACATTGGCAAGGCAAGCTGGATATTTCATGCTTGAGAAAGCTGAGGGCCGGATAAAAAGTTTCTGGTAAGGACAGTTCACCGAACACACATTTTTCTCATGAAAAGATTGCATTGCAGCTTGAAGAACTCTTCGTTGTAATATTGGAAATTTGGCATAAAGCTTGTAAAGAAATGAGGGGACTCTTGCACTAGTTGGAAAAATGTGTACAAGAATCCGAATATTTTCTCTTCCTACAAGCCATCAGAAAATGAACATTAATCTACAATAAAACAAGCAAATTGTATCCGTTTAAAAGCGATTACAAAAGAAAAAAGGTTGGCCTCATACGCTATTCAATCTGCCGCTAGAAATGCAGAAATTTAAGAATACTACCCTGGTTTCTCGTCCACTGCACGAATAGAGGATGAGGCTACCATAGCTAGTTCCAATTTTTTGTTTTTGGCAGCTCTGATCTGGTCTGCGAACGAAACACCTTTTCGAATTTTCTCTCTCTTTACAAGCTCTAGGTCCAGTTTCTCCAAAGATGAGATATGTGACATGGTTATATCCCGTTGAGCAGCAACTTGACCATCTATTAAAGTCTTTCTGTCAAGCTATTAAGAATAAAGAGTAGAATACAGTAAGACACGAACAAACAACATCGAAAACAGTATAAAACATTACAGAAAAGGAATAAATACGCTGATCAAGCAAGGTCCCCTAAAAGTTTAAATCCAAGAAATCAAGACTGAGGGTGAACAGTGAACTACATAATTTCTGCTAACGAGCAATTACCTTCATTAATCTCTTGTTACGTTTCAGCCCTTGAGGAACTGTCAACTCTTCATCATCTTCATTAATTACTCCATCTTTCCTCACGGGATCAAGCCTTGCCACCGTTTTTGCTTTAGCTTGTTCTGCTTTTTTTGCTCTTTTGTTTGCCATCTCTTTTGCCTTTGCTTTTTTCTTTTCTGCAGCATGCTGAAGCTGTTGGAGATGTAATTCTAGTTTTATTTTCTCATAGCTATCCCAGTGGAGCTCTTTCTGTCCACTCCCACCTTTCTTAGCTTCCTCTGCTATGCTTTGTACCCATGAAAGAAAAATCTTCTCCCTTAACTGTTTCCACTTCAAACGCTGTCCCCAAACACGTCTGAGTGAAGAACGCATCTTTGCCTTGGACTCAGCACTACATAAAAGTCAAATTTTTGTCAAATTATGTACCACATTAGGATGTGCTTTGGGGACTCAGCCACCCACGGAGCAAGACATAGAGGTTAAATAAGGGGTCTACAATAGCAAATGGATCTTTCAGCGGTTGTACGCTGCATGCAACCTACAACTATTGACTTCTATACCGTATACGAAACAAAAGTGATCATGTTTACTTGGCTAGCAGTCCTAAAAGAACTTCGAACTAAGCTCTCTCTCTCTCACTCTCTCTCTCCACCCAAATGCAAAAGTAAGAAAATACTTGCAAGGACATAGAGAACGTTATCTACGAATGATTATTAACTTGTCTAGCTACTCAAAGGAGCATTTGAGATAGAAATAAACATAAATTTTAGGGTGCATGTCGTCCTTTACATTATATCGTTGTAATTCTTATAACATTTCACAAACATTAATCAAAATGAAATCCAGTGGCCCATAAAGGCCTAATAACTATTTGAGCGAGGATCAAAAGTTAGAAGGCATTTAAAGTTCATGGTGTCTCCAGAAAAATTTACAGCACTAAGTTCCTAACTTCCTTCCATATGGTCATCAATCACAGCATTTGTCTAGCTCCCCATCTCTGTGAATAGATATCTTTTAAAGTGTAACAGCCACACTTGACATTGAGCAGTAAGCTAAAAATAACTCTCCACTCATTCAAAAGCCTAAACCTCCTTTTGGTTTGATATTATAACGACAGCACATGGAATTATGAAGTTCGTATGTTTCGTATGAGTATATGTGACAAAGACTTGAGTACCTATGAGGACGGGGATGCTCAGACATCTTCTTTCTAACCTGCAAATAGTGAGTGTCAACGAAATAGCAATTTTCGAAAGAAAAATAGTTGATTGAATTAAAAAAATTCTTTTATCTGTGCATAAGTTGTGCAGTACTTCTAACTAAAAAGGGAAATCCACAAACAAGAATACCAAACCTTCTAACATTTTTAGGAATAACACTGTATTGTGCCATTTAAATAATGTGAACCCTTATATGCTAGTTCAAAAGCACAAATATTTGAAGAAAAATATCATAAAACTTAATGAATCTTACATGACTTCACCTTGGGGTCCTTTAATGCTTCTATTGTTCTCTGCTTGATTCGCTCACAAGTCTCTACATTATATGAAAGATCACAACTTCAGATTCAACCAAACGTATGAAAGTTTAAAATCCAACAAAAAGTTTACGCTCGGTTTCTACTTTCTATTTACCTGAACTATGTTTCCTGCCTTTATTCCATGGTATCCTCCCTTTGTTGGCCTGTCCTATTTTTTTCCGTCTCTGTCTCTCCTTTTCTTCCTTGCTAAGAGAGTCGCTGCTGTCATTAACTGATGGAACCTCCTTGCTTAAACTTTGTTTCTCATGTGTATTTATGTCGAGTAAAGAATGACAGATGTCCATAATATCACAATTTTCAGCCCTGTCAGCACTGCTGTGCGCGGCTCCCAGACAATGAAGTCTAGGGAAGGAACTTACAAGAACAACCGAGGGAGAACGATTCCTCAAAACAGGCAAATAATAGTTCCAATTTTCTGGGTTCTGTGCAAAGTGAGTGGCTTCCCCCACATAACCAAACAGTGGAACACACTTGAGAGTCGAGTATGGCGGAGCAGCCAATCTCCTGACAGAAACTCAAACACATCAATCTGGAGCTGATTTCATTTTATAAAACTAATCAACCATAAATCAATGAACGTATACGTAACTGTATACAAAACACCGTCAAGAATTTCCCATACAGGCAAGAGAGAATTGACTTCCTCATCAATTCTCTTAACGAACTGAGCTACAAGCAACATTGGGAAACGGAGGAATCAAACTCCGTACCCAGGTGCAAGGTGAATGCTCTTAACGAACTGAACTACAATCCATCTTAACCGGTCAGTATCAAATATGCAATGCCACCACTAAAATCACTATAAAAACTCATTTCTGTTGCACATTAATCACATTTGTATAAATCCCAATTAAATATCACCTACCAAATCCACACTGAGGCCACGACAGACACAAATTTTGGTTAAAAAAAACTTCCACTCAGTGCTTTCACTTTCCACTAACACAAGAACAATAACAAAACAAGATTGAAGCGTTCACATTTTTTGCTTTTCCTCAAATTTCAATGAAATGCTCAAACTTTATGGAGATAATTCAACAAGTAGACATTTTGGTAAGGAGATAAACACGTTATAGAAGAAACCCATTTCAGGAAATGGGTAAATTTTCCAGGAGGGAGAGAGAGAGAGAGAGAGAGAGAGAGAGAGAAGAAGGAACTTACAGGTGGAAGACCGGCATTTCAAGGTGGAAAGATAAGGCGGAGGGTGGAGGAACACCAGAGAGACCCGCTTCGAAACAAAACGCGGATTTGAGAGCGATAGCGGATTGGTGCCCACCCTTTCGGCTGGAAATATATTGGGCCTCGGCCCATCAAATGAAAAGGTCAAAAGCGTTAGCAATGATGTCCTACATCCCACAATCCTATTTTTTAACATCGTTTGATTTTGTCCGATGATCTTTTAATTTGAGTTCGACATCCTAATTTTTTTTTTGTTTTTTTAGTATTTGGTTTGAGTCAAGCAGTAACATTAGTAAATTATATGTTTGATTAGTTATTAACGAAATTCGAACTCACGCCGTCATGTAAGAGCATATTTTTTCACTACTCTGGTAAATAGCCACTTGCAATATTTTCTCAATGATTAATTTCATCACAATTATTTTTTTGTTGAATCCATTACATGCACTAAATATTATTAATTTTAAGGTGAATATACGTCAACAAAATGTTGCAAAAGAAAATTTGCATTGACTTGGAACATTGACAATCGAGTAATGAGAACAATTAAGAGGAAGTGAAACTTAACACATCTTTAGAAAATTCAGAAATTTGTATGGTACAAAATGGACGAAAATAATCATTAACGTAACGATATAATTATTGACATGAATTGAAAGTTTAGAGAACCCTCTAAATATTCTAGAATAATTCCGCTTTAACATGAACCAATTAAATAAAGGCTTATTTTTAGTTACACTCCTTGAAACTCAATTTGATCCTCCTTTGTTCTCTTGAAACTCAAAAGTCGTCACTTCTATTCTTGAAAATTCAAATTTGCTCCACATTGCCTTGTTTATGTTATTTTCGTTCAAATACGTTTAATGAGGATTAAAAAATACATTTTTAGAATAATTTTTTTAGCTACGCTTTTTGAAACTCAATTTAGATCCTAATTTATCCATTGAAACTCAATATTCGCTCCACTTTAATTTGTTCCTATGTATTTCGTTAAATAGCTCTCCACCCCTATCTCTAATCATTTTCCATGCATCCATCCCTTCTCCCTCCATCTCCAGCCACTTTGTCATTAATTCCATTGATTTCGTTATTTCTTGTGTTCTTAATCAGAAAAGTAGCATAAAAAATCCATGAGTTTTTTTTTTTTTTTTTTTAATAATAATTCTCTGACATAGAGTAGAGGTGCCAAACGGGTCTTGGCAGATGAGGAATTTGAATTTCGTTTATGGAAAGAGGGAGATTAGGAGAGACAAAAGAACAGGAAGAGCCGATGGCGGGGCATCGTCAAAATCGGAAATAAAAGCCTAAACTTAATGGTTATTTAACGGAATACACAGAGATAAGATAAATTGAAGCGGATATTGAGTTTTAAGAAGTAAAATGTAAAATTTTGAGTTTTAAAAAGTAAAATAAGATCAAAATCGAATTTTAAAGAACGTAGTAAAAAATAGGGAATTATTATTGCTACTCCAAAAATCATATTCAACACCTCAAACTTTCTATATTTAAAAAGAAAAATACACTGATAAAAAATGTAAAATAAAAATTTTAAAGTACAAATAACATTTCCCTAAAAATAAGCTCGAAATAAACAATTAGATGTCAGCCAAAGCCCATTTAACTAGAATATTTACTCCTAAAAGGCCCAACGTATTCAGTATATAAACACATCCAATGGAATCACAGTCAGAAACTCCCAACTCTCTCTCTCTCCACCTTGTGTTTCTCTTCCCAAGGGTTAGGGTTTATCCTCGCTCTTCTGCCAATGGACTCAACCAAGAAGCGAAAGCTGGACGAGAACGGCGTCGTTCTGGACACGGATCCCGCCTCCGCCCCCAAGCTCTCCCCCGAAGACGCGCGCAGGCTCATCGAGCGATTCACCCCCGATCAACTCCTCGACATTCTCCAAGACGCCCTCTCCCGCCACGTCGACGTTCTCGACGCCGTCCGCTCCATTGCCGATCCCGACGCCTCCCAGCGCAAGCTCTTCATCCGCGGCCTCGGCTGGGACACCACCACCGAGGGCCTCCGATCCCTCTTCTCCGCCTACGGCGAGCTGGAGGAGGCTATCGTTATCCTTGACAAAACCACCGGAAAATCAAAGGGTTATGGGTTCGTTACGTTCCGCCACGTTGACAGTGCTCTCATGGCCCTGAAAGAACCGAGCAAGAAGATCGACGGCCGCATGACCGTCACGCAGCTCGCCTCCGCGGGGAATTCGAACTCCAACACCGCCTCCAACAACGTCGCTGACGTATCGTTGCGGAAGATTTATGTGGCCAATGTTCCCTATGACATGCCGTCGGATAAGCTCTTGGCGCATTTTGCCCTGTACGGAGAGATAGAGGAGGGCCCGCTAGGGTTTGATAAGCAGACTGGGAAGTGCAAAGGGTATGCGCTGTTTGTGTATAAGACTCCGGAGGGGGCTCAGGCGGCGCTTGTTGATCCGGCGAAGAACATCGAGGGTAGGCAGTTGCTTTGTAAATTGGCGATTGATGGGAAAAAGAGCAAGTCGGACGGGCCGGCCCAGGGTCAAGGACCTGGGAGTGGTTCCAATGCGCACGGAGATGGGATGGGGATGGCACCGCCGTCTTCGATTCCTGGGCAGTACGGCATCCCAGGTGGAATTGGTTCTTATGGTGGGTATAACAGTGGGCTTCAGGGCCAGCCTCCATTGGGTCACCATCCATTGGGTGGGCCTGGGTTGTCTGGTATTGGAAACCAGGTGAATTCGGGTTTGGGTGGTGGTGGTGGATATGGAGGGTTGGGTGGGCCTTATGGTAACTATGGCGGGCCTGGGGGTTATGGTTTAGGTGGTGCCGGTGGGTTGGGTGGTGGACTTGGTGGTGCTGGGTCGGGCGGTGGTGGTGGTCCAGTTGGTGGTGTGGGTAACGGGTCGTCTTTATATGGATTGCCTCCGAGTTCAGGTGGGTTACCGTCTGGTAGGTATCCGGAGGGTGGGCATTACGGCCTGTCGGCCTATCAGAATCAGCACCACCAGCAAGCTGGAACGTCACCCCTACCAAGGGTTCCTCAAGGTGGCATGTACCCAAATGTGCCACCTTATTTCTGAGGTATTTTCATTGCTTGTATCTTTTGCTATTATGTTTCTAGTTTGGTGGTATTGATTGAATTTATTGGTGCTTTGTTAAATTACTTGTGTATGGTTGCTTCTTGTTGTTTTGGTTGTTTCTTCACAAAATTTGTGCCTTTGACTAATTGTATTGTTTATTTTTTTTGCTTTTGTTTATGTGTGAATAGGATACCTCGCGTCTCTGTTCGTGCTTCTGCGTGAATCAATTTGCTTTTGTTGATTGAGAGGCGATCAAGTTTTTCTGTATTAGATTAGACGAATATGTTTTCCTTTGCTGTAGTATTTCTCTTGTTTTTCTATTTTATATGAAATGTTTTAATGGTACTTTTTGTGTTGCATCCAAAGCTTTAATTTTAGCAGAAATATTAGATGTGGATATTGCATTATAATTTATGATGTTCGGGCATATTTAGTCAAGAACTTAAACGGTTGAGTTTCCAAATGAATTTTACTGTTTTTTGTTACTTGAAATTTGAATTTTGTGTCAAGTGTTACTTTTTAGTCCTTAATTCTGGAGGAATATGGATGTTAGAATCTTTTATCTTTACAGGATGCTTCTCCATTCAATTAGTGAAACCTTTTTAGTTTGGTAGTGCGGATGGAGTTGTATGCATTTTTTTTTCCCTTTGATCAATGTGGGTGGAAACTTGATACTTGAGGAGGAATTCAAAGATCTCTTTTGTGACTTTTCTTATATTTTGTTTTATTTGTGTATAGTTTTTGTTGGGAATTGATGGGATTGATTGAGCAACTTATCAAAATAAATTTGAGCGATAGAGAGGAACACTAACGACATTAGTAGAAATGGGTATGTAATGTGTACCATTCCAATGTGTAACATATTCTGTGTTTACTAAGAGAGAGGGAATAAAAAAATTAGTCGGTCCTACGGTAAAATCAGTTATCCCATACCTGAACAACCAGATATCACATGGGGGTAGTTTATCCCATACCTAAACAACCATATTCATTCCTATTCTTCACTAACCCAATTCCAATCTAGTAAACTTGCCATGGGTGGGATAGTGAACAGGGCTGATTTTATTTGCTCATAGTCAGATTTTAGTGTGTGGGTTTCATCCAGTGTTTTAATACGCAAAATAGTATAGGGCTTTCTCTCTCTTGCAAGGCGAGGTGTAAGCTTTTGAGAGATGAATATTATTACTAAAAATATTTAAATATACATATGATACAGAATTTTGTATTTGTACATGTAGAATATAAATGTAGTATCAAATACTTGAGCTAAATCGTTGTTTTCTTTGAACAACTGTTTATTTGTTAGTGGCGGTTAATGGTTCCCATAGTCATATTTTTAGAACACTGGCTGCTTTTCATTCTTTGAGTTTCTTGGATGGTGTATTCATTTTAAATAAAAAATTAAAAGGACTATGTGAATGGTACAAAGCATTCATATCATTGTAGTTGTTATATTTGAAAGGGTGATATAATTTTTGGCATTAGAAATTGTGGTTAATAATGTGGGGGTAGAGATTTTGTGAGACAATTGATTTGGAGGGTTAATGAAGTAGTGGGATCGTGCAAGTGATTGCTTTTTCTTATAAAAACAAAAAATCATGCATGTGATTACCTCGTCATTCATACATTTATTTGAGAAAGATTTTATGCTTACTTGGTTGGTGCAAAGTTTTGCTCAAGTTACCAATGAAACCGTCAAAACATTTCCACATTCCAGTAATCTATTGATGTAAGTCAACTATTTATTGTTAGTTTTATTTATATGGATTTATGCTCAATTAAGTATAGCGTGCTGTAAGATGATGAATTCATCTTCTAAACTTTGATACTGCTTTACTATTTTTTTGGTCAATTTTGGATTATCTTATCATTTTATTGTTCTCTTGTAGTTCGACTATTTTCAAATATTTTGGTAAGTTAGCAAGGATGTCTTGTTTTGATATTTATTTTAAAGTTGTGTGAAATACATTTTGCGTGGTCATTGATTTGATCTGTTTGCGTGTTTATTGATTTGACGTGTTTGTGTTCTTTATGGTTCAATTGAAAGATGGATTGAGTTATTGGTTGATGTTTGAATCAGGTGTATGACCGCTTGTTGGCGCAGATGCTTTATATGGTTCTGGTGATTGCGTGATTGCAGACTATGTGCTGTGGTTTGATGATTGTATTAGCTGTGATTTTATCGCCTCTTCATCACTTCATCTGCACCTTTAAGATGTAGGTCATTTTTGAGTTATGGTAGCCAAAGTGACTAAATTAGACTAGTTTTCTGTATTCTGTCAGGAACTGATGTGATCTGTAGGTTTTTTGGCCATAAAGTATAGTTTGTTTTTTTATAATAACTGATTTACGTTTCTTTTACTTTGAGAATGTATGTATGGCGGTTGTTGCTCTTACTTTAGTTGATAATTGATATGACTTTGTTTGTATGGAGCTCTTCAAGATGGTGGCTTGCTGCTATGATATGCGTCTTGCAAATGTACGTAGGACTTACGTTTGCTGTAAAATTCTGTTGGTGACGTTGTCTCAAGCTTTCTTTTTGCTGAAAAAGATTGTTTTGTTTTCACTGGTTTTTAACACTCTCTTCAACAATTTTGGTTTCCCTGTGGATAAGCTGTATTGGCCATATTGTCTCTTTTGACTGTGATTTGTTCATCCATGAGTTTCTTTATTCTGTTGAATATTATGGGTTTTTTCCTGGTGTACCTGTTATGTATTCAGATTGCTTTTTTTTTTTCTTTTCTTCCTCATCCCCATCTTCAGTAAATATATGGGAGTTTGATATTCATCGAAGTCAAATTTTATAATTTTGCATTGTAGGCATTTATTGATGTTCAGTATGTATGTAGTCATTCTTTTTTGTAGAGGCACTCAGTTAAGCTTTTGGTGGTTTATTGAGGAGCCCTATTTTCTTGTTGACCGTAGAAAATGTTGATGTAAAAACGGTGTTTCTAGTACATAATTCATGCCTCTACGATTTAGCTGTTTTTTTGTTGGATTGTATGGAAGTGATTGGAGATTGACTGAATTTCAGTTTTGACGGATGGTTGATTCTGTTTTAGTCATTATGGTGCTCTATTTGAAAGGAGGCTTTTGCGAGGTGTGTGTAGTTCGATGGACAGGAAGACTTCATTTTATATGGGGATAGAATAGTGCCTTATCTTTGCGATTCATGGCGTCTCTGCTTTTAAGTTATGGTTCTTTCATTTAAAAACCCCATGGTATCGCTCTTTACCATATAATATGATGTAGCTGTTTGGGTTGTGAAAGTGGTTCTTTGCTTTCTTAGTAGACATTTATGCTGAATTTCAATTTATGTGACAGTAAACTCTAGTGGCGTAATTTCAACATCGTATCTTGTTCCATCCATCCAACCCAGTACTTTTATGTTACGTTTCTTTTTCCCGTTTTTAGATGGTTTGGTGTTATTTGATTGACAAACTACTGTCTTTTTTTCTGGTCTGAAAAATTGTTGTTTTTTAACACCCGCGTTTGAGAAATTTGTAATTCAGGCAACTTCCTCTGTTTGACTTATTGGTTTTGTTTCATTTACTGTGGTTGTTCTATCGTCTTCCCCATTTCCTTGTACATTGTGTTTAGTTTTGCGCAACATGATTTTGAGTTGTCTTACTGTCTTCTCGCCCCATTCTTTTCGTTGCGAGTGTTTTCTGTTTGTTGGGCGGGGAGTGGAATTTGGGGGCCAGATGTAAGGGGAATATTTTGATGCTCAAGCTTGGTGAGATGAATCGTGTTGTGGTGGTTGTGGCGGCAAGTGGAATCTTGGTGGCAGAGGCCGACAAGTGGAGATGTAGAGGAATATTTTGATGCCAAATATCGGTGAGATGAATTGTGTCGTGGTGGGTGAGGCGGATAAGGATGTCAGATAGTGGTAGCCGAAGGCTTATGATTGATGTTTGCCACGGGATGCAGAGATATTCCGTCCGCGGTGGTAGCATGTGCATGATCGTGAAAGTTGTATAAAGTCTACGTTCTTTTATGTTAAAGTGAGAGTGGAGAGCAATTGGGCATCAATTTTCAGCTTTATTCTTTGATACGTTTGTTTCCTGATATCGACCGTGTTATCAGTCGGCGACTCGAAAAATGTAGAAATGTGAAGATGCATTAGTCAATCCTCCTGCATAAAGTTGGCATATAATTTATCAAGTGTGTCGGAACACAGGCGCAAATGCCATATGTAATTATACAAGCGAAATGATTCTTGAACTTTTTTTTGTTTCTTCTAATGAGGTATGGTTACTATCTCGTGTTTTGAGCATGTGGAAAAATCTATGATCCGAGAAAGATGGCTGCCCGAAAGATGCCTTTACAAATTCAAATTTATTTGTGCTCTTTTAACTTATTGGTGTAAAAAATTTAAGGTGGTGTTATCCACATGCTTATTTTTCATCTCACACATCTTTTTTAATTTTTAACTGTCGGATGAAAGGAATTGATCAGTGGACAAAATTTAACAAGGGAGGGAGGGGGAGAGAGAGAGAGAGAGAGAGAAGAGGAAAAGTGTTAATAGCACTACTCAAAATTTAGTCCAAGTAATTTTCTTTCAAGCGAACATAGGGTTGTAATACGTTGGTGTAAGAAACGTAGTGTGACTTTCGAATTTTGTTCGAGTTGAAGGAATTAGATGGATCAGTTCCCTTCATCTCCACAAGATGGTACGATTGCTCTACCGTCGATTTGAACAAAATTTGAAAGTTGTAGTCGAGAAAACTCGGCCTCCGTTCATTGTAGGGGTCGAAAATGTAAATTCATCGTCAAGGAAGGATAATGCAGACCAAGGAATTGTCGGATGATGCTTTAGGCCAACAAGTGTACCCAATGTCTAACTAAACTAGCCACGTCTACATACATTGCAACTTTTCAAACAAGTGATGATTAAATTGACGGAAGACAGACGACAGGGGGAGAATGTAACGCAGCTTGCGACAGCTTTACTCGAAGGTCGCCATTGGTGTCTACATTGCATTAATGGAGAAAATGGATGCTAACTTCCAAGAATCCGTTCAACTTTATCTCTTCTAATTCCGTCTTTTTTTTTTTAATGCATTGAAATTTTTATATTAGAGCGAAAATGAGTTTGGTTAAACCATATAATAGGCAATCTAATTTGGTATCGAATTTATCATCCGTAAGATTCGGATATAAAACATCTTATTTTTAAGGAAAAAAATATTACTAGATTGTAGTACTGAGTGATTAATTTGAACAAAATGATGAAGTTGGTTTTTGTTTCTTTCTTCAACGTACGTTGGGTTTTGTGATTTTCTCCACAATTAGTCTGTCAGACGATTTTTTTTTTTACATTGTTGATTGAGAACAAAAATATGCAGAAGAGAAAAAGCAAAAAGAATGCATACGCTGAAAATTTCACATGCTTACGATTTGTCAAGATACTGTAAATTAAATTACTATTTGAAATTAACTTGGCTCTTCAAATGATGAGGAGTACTTAAAATACTTCGTGATCGATTTACAAAGTAAAGTGTTTTTAATCGGAATCGTTAATATTATAAGTCACTTGATGTGAAAAAAAAAAAACACATCTCTGGAAAAAATCAATTAAATACGAAATTGTTTAGTTATCTAACTATACAAAAATAAATGGACAAATTTGGTACAAGAATTACAAGCTGTTTATATATTTGCTACAATTAATCGATTAAACGACTTTAATTTCAATTAATTTTTTGCATATATAATTTTTATAAAGCTAGTTTTAATATGAACTATACGGAGTATAAGCATAAAGTTCAGAAAAGATGAGGTAAATGATAGGAAGAAAAGCGAGGTTAGAAATATTAATAAAACTAAAAAAATATTAATTAATATATTAATAAAAGACACAAGCATTATCCCAAAGAAAAGGAAGAAAGGGAAAAAGCAAAAAAAATATTTGGCTGGTCAGTCAATTGCACCAGAAAAAGCCAAGGGAGGAAAAGAGAGGAGGAGAGCCGGCCGACCTTTTGCTACATGTTATTACTAATTCCAATCAAGGAGACTGGTGGCTTTCATGTTATTCCATTTTTTTGGAAACCGAAAAGATTTACATACATATTTAAACATTCTTTAATTATTTTTATGCTGTATACCAACGGAAGAGGATTCTCTCCTGAGCTTAGGATGTAGATTCTTTTGACCAACTCATCCGGACTATTTAAATTTAATTCAACAGTTGTAATTATTATAACTTTTAAAAAGTCTTCTGATTGGAGTCGTTGGATTAAATTTAAACGGTCCGAATGAATTGATCAGGAGGATCTTTATTCTGAACTCAAGAGAAGATCTTCTTTCAATACTAACATACAAACTGAACTCTGACTGTGTAAAATGCGAGTCTGAAATTCTTAATCAACCACCTTGTGGTAGTTAAATATTTGGAATTTCAGTTGGACTCATATTGTACTTTAATATTTTATTATTTTATTTATGTGATTAAGATAAACAAAACATAAACGCTCTTTAAACCCTCCCCCTTCTTCTCCCTAAACCTCTCTCCTCTCTCTCTCTCTCTCTCTCTCTCTCTGCGTCTAGATTCCAACTGAGCTTACCGGCGCCGCCAGCTGCCGGTAATTCATCTCTTCCTGTTTTCTCTCTGCCTTGTTCATTTAAATTTCGTTGCTTTTCCACTCAATTCGCACTCTTTAATTTATTTTTGCTGGTTTCTCTTCTTCTTTTTGTACCCCAAAAAAAAAAAAAAAAAATCCCTCTTTTCCGAATTGGAACGATTATATATGCATGTAGGTATGTTTATGTCCATTTTTTTTTAAATTTTTTGTGTAAAATTATATATGTTTATGCTTTTTTGTATTCAGGGAGCTGCTGTGTTCTTGTTTTTGTTTGCCAGACTTGTGAATTATGGAGAATGATTTAATTTCAGTGTGAATTTTGGGTTTTGAAATTGAATTTGACGATGGTGATTGATGATTGAGTTTGATCAAGTTTAAATTAATAGCTTAATCGCGATCACTGTTCGAAAAGCCCTGTTTATGTTCTTGGGCGAGATGATGGAAGGCTCATACATATATGAAGTTATTTAAAATAAATCATGTTAAACCCTAAATTCTGTTGGTTTTAGTTCTCTCATGAGTTTAAAGATTAGAACCCCGGTTAAAAATGTGCTTGATCGCGGTCGGTATTGGTGTTGCTCGAGCCTTGCATAAGAGCAGCTAAGGTAGTGTGAACGAAAGAAGCACTGGTAAGGCGGTGTAGACGTTAAATATAAATGCTGCTCAATGCTTATTGGTTTTTAAGAGCTAAAGAACAGGCAAAAGTCTTGAATTTGAGGAATATCGATGTAGGTTAGTATATAGGGATTAGGGAATGCATGAGAGTATTCAAAGCCTGTACATGTATATGAAATTATGAACAAGTATGTTTTATACATTGTATATGCAAACTAGTGATGCTTATATAAATATACAGTCATCAATCGTTGCGGCAATGGTTATCTTGGATTTTTTTTCTTCTGTTCTTTGTGTTTTCAGACCAGTAACCTCTCAACTCCCTTGTGTAGTTCGTGTAGACCTTGGTTTCTTACTTCTGTACATCCAATATTACTTTTTTTTTTCCTAAATTACAGAAGCATTTTGGTTTATAGATTGATCTTTATGCACTTTCTTCATTCACTGTCAAATTTAGATCAGTTTCTTGTTTCGTTTCTATTTTCTGTTCCGTATACAGTTTGGTTTCTGAATTTATCATGTGGCAGTTGCATCTCCTCTAGTTTTGTATTCGATTTTACACTGTTTTCTTTGTCACTTGAAAAATTTGTAATCTGTGACTTAACGTGATCTTATGATGCTCATTGTAGTTCATATGGTAAGATATGCTACTCTATATTTGACTAACGTAAACCATTAAAATACAGTTCAGTGTTCGTGATGGATTTTACGAAACTCAAAAGTATAAATTGGGTTGGAAACATTTACCAGAAATTTGAAACAATCTGCCAGGAGGTGGATGGTATAGTGAATCAGGTAATAAGGGAAGAAAAAGCCCAAATGAAAACTATTTCGTTTGCCTCTTGTCTTTGATTAGTTTTGTTGCTGCTAACTGCTAAGCAGTAACTCCAGTTGTCAATTCCTCTCGCAATACTAAATTATATTTCTTTCACAGGACACAATTAAATATGTTGAAAATCAGGTGCAGACAGTGGGTAAAAGTGTGAAGAAAATTTCTAATGCCGTCCAAGATTTACTTCCTCCGGTTAAACATGATGCTAACGGTGTGGCGGAGACACAGAAGTCTGCCATTAGTGCTAAGTCAAGGAAAAAGGTAACGCAAAATTCTTTGGATGTAACTTCAAAGCAATCACCTACAGAGCCCAATGTAAAGGATCCTGTGAGAGACCAGCTGAGTCCGGTCTCTACGGAATATGACCTTACAGACCAACCTAGTCTTCCAACGATGAATACTCTTGAAGTGGCCGAGTCAGATTTATCTGTGGGAAAGATCGACAAAGTTTTGGCAACTGAGAAGTCTTTAGTTGCAATTGAAAAGCAATCTCCTACAGAGCCCAATGTAATGAATCCAGTGACAAACCAGCCCAGTCTTGTCTCTAGTAAATATCACCCTGCCGATCAACCGAGTTCTCCAACTTTAATAGATACTGTCAAGGTGCCAGAGTCTGACTCATCTGTGGGGAAGGTTGATGAAGTTTTGACCAGTGAAGGTTCTGTAGATGTGACGGAAAATCAATTGCCTACAAAGCTAAATGCAATGGATCCTGTAACAAACCAGCTGAGTGTTGTCTCTGGTAAATATTACCTTCCAGATCAACCTAGTTCTCCAATTTCAGTGGACAGTCTTAAGGTGTCAGAGTCCAACTTATCTGTGGGAAACATTGATGGCGATTTGGATATTGAAAATTCTTTAGATTCACCTGAAAAGCAATCACCTATGGAGCCCAATTTAATGGATCATGTGACCAAACAGCTGAGTCTTGTTGGCAGTAAATATTACCTTGCAGATCAACCTAGTTCTTCTGCAGTGGATACTCTCAAAGTGTTAGAGTCCGAGTTATCTGTGGAAAATATTGATGAAGTTTTGGCAAATGAAAATTCTTTAGATGCAACTGAAAATCTAAAACGTACAGGCCCCAATGTAATCGATCCATGCCAGCCGAGTCTTGTCTCCAGTAAAGATAACCTTGCAGGTCAACTTAGTTCTCCTGCTTCCATGTATACTCTTGAGGTAGTGGAGTCTGACTTGTCTGTTCCAGAGATTGATGACGTTTTTACCAATGAAGACTCAGCTGCAAACAATGAAGAAACTGCCGTAAAAGTGTCTGCACCTATATTAGAGGAGTTAACTTCTCCTTTTGTGGCAGAACACTCTACAGCGTCCCCACACGGGGTATTTTCTCATAGCAATCATGAAAATAGATGTGCTGATTTGCCTGAGGTTGCACCTGTAACCCCTGCATATGGATTGGAGTTTGAGTCTGAGCAAAAGTCGACTGTTTGTAATAAGTCTTCAGATGAAACTGAGTATGTATCTGGTGCTTCAAGTACTACTTCTGAAATTGCCTCTTCAGTTGTATCTGGGGAAAACGCTATAGAGAATATGGAACTTGCATCCTTCAGCAGCTCCAATGCAAAGGAATCACTTTGGCTCGCTGGGTATCCATCTGAAAACTTATCCCTGGAAGCTGTTGAGGTGGCTGGGTTTGTATCTAATGATTCTAATGGGCTCCCATCATCTGCTTCACCTTCAACCGTGTCTGGTGAGAATAAGGACCTCGGTATGGGACTTTCTTCTTTCAGCAGTGTCATATCACCCGAATCAGTAGGTTAGTATTTTTGGTTGGCTTGCTATAGATGTACTCTTGCTTTCTTTATAAAACCAGTATTGATTAACTTCTGTATTACAGCAGAAGGCACTTCCAGAACGGCAGAGATCATGCCTCTGACAGTACCATCTAGAAAGCAGCATGTTCAAATCTGCGACTCTGTTCAGTATGGTGCTCTTAGGTTGTCTTTAGATATTGGTATGTCGCAGAATGTGCATTTGATACTTCTTTTTATTTTCTTTCTGGTCGTTCACGTTTAAAACTCCTCGGCTCATAGTATATTGCCTTCCTGGAGATATCAAAAGTGAGAATGCTGACATACATTCATATGAAGTTTTGTTTGTAGTAAAAGCGATGGTGTTGAGACTTATGATTAATGTTGGAATCATGCGGAGCCTTAACGCTATCTATTAGCTTTTTAACTGATCTAGATTGGATGCTTTTATGATTTGTTTATGATGTCACCTTTTCTCTAATGTTGTTAATTGTTTTACAGGATGTTCAGATGAATCAAGCAGCGATTCTTCTCACTTTCCTATGGAAACTATTGATTTGCATGATAAGGTAATGCTGGAGGAGAGGAATGTCGGTTTCCACAATAAGGTGAAGCTGGAGGAGAGCTGTGTCATCATAGACGATAGCGTCCTGCATGCTGTCTCTAGCCGAGCAAGAAAACAAAGATCATACAAGGTACGTTCCTTTACTCCAATCCTCCATTTCTGTTTCTGTAATGTTAAGTTTAGGTAACAAATGTGAAAGCTGAAGATTATTCCAAATCGCATCAATTTTCTGAATGCATGTTATACGGTTTTCCAAAATTTCTGTTGAATTGAATTAGAAGATAAAGAAGACTGCATCCGTCATTTCAGACTGGCGTTTAACATAATATAATTCTCCGTTCGTTCTCATATTTAAAAGGCATATTTACAGTGAGCTTTTAACACGGATTTAGATTGCAGTCACCCATTTCTTGAGAATCAATGACTTATCCCCCAAAAGAATTATTTAAAGAAAAGAGCCCGAAATGTTTCTTGAAAATATGAAACTCTGTTAGAACATTATGTGCCCGATTAGCAACACGAACCTAACTGATCAGGTTTCTTTTTTCTTTCTTAAATACAGAAAAGAATCCAGGATGCTTTTACACCAAACAAGAGGTTGGCAAAGGAGTACGAACAGCTAGCAATTTGGTTCGGAGACAGTGATATAGATTCCAGCCATAGCCAAGGAGCACTCTCGAACATGAAAAAGTCGGAATTTGATGATGCCTGTGATTTTGAATGGGAGCTCCTGTAAGTAAACCAACTCATCCCTGTAAATAATTGGATCGGTTAAAGGGCTGCTTGCCTTAGCAGGTAAATATGGTGGAAAGTTACATACCAAACCGAATGTATATAATTGAAGATGATGCCTCTACATAAAATAAATTAGTTAAGCATCACGGTATTGAGTTCTAGCTGGTCAGTATTGTTTCCGGATATTATCTTCACCGGTTTTTTGCTGGTTGAAGAGGATGAACAAATGGATTATAAATATTGTGTCTACCGTCACCAAATTCAAATCGTTTGTAGTTTGTTGGTTGAAGAAGATCAACAGAATACAAATAGCAGGTGTCACATCTTTTCCTTGCAAAATGCTGCACAACTAATCCTCAATATTAACCTACGAGTGTACCTTTCATGCATTTTATCGAAGGCTCGATTGTTAATTTCGTGTTAAAAAATATTTTGATGGCGCTTCAACAGATGTGCATACAAAATTTCATTCCATGTATCAGGAACCCCAGGTAGGCACCAGTGAAAGCAATTGACAAATTTTTAGGATCCGATCTCTGTTCCTTTGCCAAGAGCTGTCACCGGCGTTCCCTATAAACCATTACGGATAGAACTCTGAATCATGAGCGCTATACAGTACATGTGTTATAATACGTAGCACTCTCTCCTCCTCCAATACCGCTTGTATAACAAAGAAAAAAATGATTTGTAATTTTCCTTCCTTTTACGCTTTCGAAAATGTTCTTAAGTGACATTATATTCTTGTACATATGGAGATCCATATCTGTGGTTGATACTGGATTCTAACCAGTCTGCCCAAGTTTGTAAGGCCAGTTTGTATGTAGTGACATTATATAGATTGAACCATGCAGTTCAGGGGTTCAAACTGCCCTCTTTGTACAGAGCTCCAACAAACATCAGCCCTTTGCCGCCTGAAATCTGCATTAGCTTCAACGCATCAAACCTGATTTTTCAAAGCCAAAACCACTCACTAAGAAAATAAAAAGACATGAAATGCCTTAACACACGTGTTTAGTGTGACCGTCACACTGTCACGTAATATTACTAATTCATTTATATGGTTATAACATTAATAAATAGATATACCTATAACAACATGTGTGAATTAATTACACCAGATGACAATGTAATAGTCTCGATTGTACGGCGTGCGCTAAAAACTTAGAATGCACATACATGCAAATTATAGGGCTTTTACCTTGGGAGACTACAGTCATTTGGTTGCCACCTCCAATTCTTATACTAAGAATCCGGCCTCCCTTTCCTCTGGCAAGTAGCTTGCTTTACCAAGTAGGGACAGCTCTCTTCTGTGTAGTGAGGATGTGACAAATTATCCCACATCCACTTCCCTTCAAACACATTGCAGCTCTCTTCAATCCGGTCTTCCGGTGAGACAACAACCGCCGACCGGTCTCGATTTTTGGCCTCTTGGCCTACCATACATCTGAAAGACAAAGCTGCCATTGCTCTTTAACGTGTCGAGGACTAGCCGTGCAGTTCCTAGCGAGGCCAATGCAACCGGGAAGAGGCACTGGATTCTCCGCTCGAGGGAGGGCTGCTGCCTTGTCATTTGGGGAAGGAGACGAAGATGGTGGGCGTGGGAAGTGAGTGTTTGATTGTTAAAAGACATTTTGCTGGTGAAGTATTTGTAAATGGTACCTTGAGCTTCAAGTCTTTTAGGTCAAGTAACAACATGCAACCGCCAGTTCGTAGGATCAAATTTTAAGTATTTCACCCCCTCCCCACATGAAATTTTGACTCTGTCACTGCTTTAAATAAAGACGTTTAAGCACACTCTAATTTCAAATTGTAATTTGTCTACATGAAAGTATAACTCTTTACACGTAAACAAAAATCTTATACTTGCAAGTGATGGATTTGCCCTGATGATATGAATTTCCTCTTCAACCTCTTCCTCGATGTTTCGGATTTATTCTCTCTTTCTCGGTATACATCAGTGTAAAATATCACTTGTATTAAAAAAATAAAAATCTCATACTTAATGAACAAGTTTTTGTTTTTTTTAGTACACTTGATGAACAGTTTAACTTTGATAATAAAAAATAAATTAAAAAAAAAACTGGAAATGTCCAATAAACCCCAACACCCTCACTTTATCCATCCCCAGCTCTGTTCACAAGGAGCTTGAGACCCAAAACCCTCTCTAAACCCAAACGACCAAACACAAAAATAATCCAATCCCAATCCAATCCTATCTCTTCCTCCCTAACCCAAAAAATGATAATCAGCAGCAGTTGCGTCCGTACATTTTACCCGCGTCTTCCGTCCTCTTCGAAGAAGCGCGTCTTCCGGACGGCCGAGCTGCTGACCTTCACTCTCCGCCGCCGGCGTCTGACCACCGCCTGCTCTGTTTCGGCCACCAAGAATAAAGAGAAGGAGAAGGTGATAGTGGTATCTGGGCCCACCGGTTCCGGGAAGAGCCGCCTCGCTTTGGAGCTCGCTAAGCGGCTCAATGGCGAGATTATCAGCGCCGACTCCGTCCAGGTTTGAGCAAAAATTCAATACCCAGTTGTTGGTTTTTGGTGTTCTCTGTTTGGATGCTGGGAAAATGTAGCTTCTTTCGAACTAAGCAGCAAAGTGGTTAATTGGGTTTTCTAAAGATACTAACTTGCAAGTTATTTAGGTTATTCGGTATTTAGTGATAAACCATTTTGTTTGGTTGATAAGAAAATGCAGGAAAAGAACAGAAAGAAATTTAAGGAACCGAAACAACAATACACATCTATATAAAAATATGGACTAAAGTAACAATAAGCATTGAAACGGGAGATAACTCAAAATATCGAATCTTCTTTCTGTGTGACATTGCCTCAATTGAATCGACTTATGTTGATGATTATAACTGTTAACAGGTAGTGCAGCTAGTGCTTTATTGCTGAAAGTGATTTTGTTTGTTATAACTTTTGTGCCGCAGGTATATCGAGGTCTTGATATTGGATCTGCCAAGCCTTCACTAAGTGATAGACAGGTGCTTGCCTGATTGAGAAACTTGTACATTTAGTGCAGGCATGATTCTGCTTACGAAATTGAATTTATGAAAATCTTGAATTCGAAGGTATCTTGGTTTCAGATGCACCATATTGCTAATGGTTTAGTGTAATAAGAAAAATTAATTAGGTTATGTCCTACTTAACTGTCTAATATTTGTAACTGTGGTGCTATTTCGTGCTTATATTTTACGTTTTATTATTTGTAATATGATAGTTGTGGATTCCGTTATCTGATTTGAATTTTGATCCTTTCAAACTATAGAAATACATACCATCATTTCCAAGAAATCACGTAATGTCCACAGTACATGTTATATCTCTCAGCATTTCAGGAATTGGATTATAGATTTAGTTATCTTATCTTTAATGAAGAATTTCATAGATATATAGAAGCCTTTCGGTCCTTATGAATTTTTTTCATGCTAGCAAAACGAAGTAGTTTGCTAGAACAGTGAGTTTCTTTCTAATCCAAAATATAACAGAAAGAAATAAAAAAAAGAACTAGTATAACAATATAATTACTAAGTACGTAAATTTAACTTGATATCAAATTTACTGTGAGTGATTGATTGGACAACCTCTCCCTTTGTTTGCTATTTGCAACTGGTCTGTTATTAGTAACTCCAACTTGACAAACAAATTTGGTTTATTTGGGGGATACATTTGATCACATTAATTAACTTTGTGTTTTCTTTCATTTGATGCAGGAGGTGCCGCATCATCTTGTTGATATATTGCACCCATCTGAAGGTGTGTTGCCTACTGATTTTGGAGGCTGTAGGCTATAGGGCAGATAGAACTGTATCGTAGCATATATTATGTTTTTTAATCTAGGATTTGGAGGCTAAAATGAAAAGTTGGGTCTTGTGGGATGCTTGGATGATGTCGAGTTTTCTCTTGCTAGGTTTGGAACTTTGGGTATTTCTGTTCTGCCAATTCAATACATGTTTTATTCTTCAGACTATTCTGTTGGACGGTTTTTTGAGGATGCCAGGCAAGCTACAAGAAGTATTCTTGATAATGGCCGGGTTCCCATAGTTACTGGTGGTACTGGATTGTACTTGCGATGGTATGTGCCAGCATCTTCTTGCGTAAATATGTGTATCTGTATATATATGTGTTTTCCCTTTTTATCTTTGTTTTTCTTATCATTTTAATGTTAGGAAGTTTTTGGCATGTTTAAGGTTAGAATGTCGAGTACACATTAACATAACTGCCCTGCGTTGTGAACTAATATATTTTGCAATGGCATCTGCATGTTGATTGATGATGTTGGCAACATTTAAATTGGTTGCTTGAAGCCGAATAAGAAAAACAAAATCTCTGTAATTAAGAGTAATAAGCTTAATTATTTTTCTCTCTTCTTTGTGGTTGTGCTGATAGCATTAGTTTTTTGATGTACATTTAAGGCTCATATACGGAAAACCAGATGTTCCCAAAGCCTCTTTAGAGATTGCATCAGAAGTGTATTCCGAGTTAGAGGTCCTACAGAAAAATAATGACTGGGATGCAGCTGTGGAGTTAGTGGTCAAAGCAGGTGACCCAAAGGCTCAACTTTTGGCTGCCAATGACTGGTATCGCTTAAGACGCAGCCTTGAGATTATTAAGGTTGGTTTTTGTTATCTGTTTCTAATATTATGCATTCCTTTGACACAGACACGCATCAATATATTGTTCATATCTTTGCCTCAATATTTGCTCTTAAGCTGAGTTGTTTTGCATTTAGAAGCTTATGCCCCTCCACTTTACTGATGTTATATGCATATAACAAATGCATGTCCTGCAATGACAGTGTACCGGATCACCTCCATCTGCATTTCAAGTACCGTATGATTCTTTCCGGAAACAGTGTGATTCTAGTGTAGTTGACGCAAATGACATTAGTCCTTCTACTGATGTAGTGGAGGAAGTAAAATCAAAGGAACTGGACTATGATTTTATTTGCTTTTTCCTCTCAAGCAAGAGAGTTGATCTTTATAAGTCAATCGACTACCGATGTGAAGATATGCTGTCAGGTAAATGATATTTAGCACATCAGTACAAATTGATCATTCGTCTTTGAGTTTTCAAAATCAGGCAATTCATTTGTTTTACACAACTTGATCAGTTAGGATTACAATTTCAATGTGGACGAAGTACTTCTTTTTTCTCTCTTTTACTTTTAATATTTTTTACAATTTCTGCAGGAAGCGATGGTATCTTGTCTGAAGCTAATTGGCTTCTTGATTCGGGCCTTCTTCCAAATTCAAATTCAGCAACCAGAGCAATTGGTTACAGACAAGTATGATTCTGCTATTGTTAAATTGTTCTTTAATTATTTAAGCAATGGTTGTCTGATTTTGTTTCATTAAAATCGCATGGCACTTTTTTTCCGTCATGTTATTATTATGTGTGATAGTAGTAACAGCAAGAAATGTTTGATTTTAGGCTATGGAGTATCTCTTGATGTGTAGGCAGCAAGGAGGAACTTCTGCAAGAGAGTTCTACAACTTTTTATCTGAATTTCAGAAAGCATCTAGGTAATGCAATTTTTCTTCAAATTTATGTATCAAAGAGATTCAAAAGGCATAACTGCCTGCATAATATTCTTTTCCAAACTCAGAGACATTTTCAGTGTACATTGTAACAAATCGTGTTGGCGGGATATATTGAAACTAAATTTCAGTTAGTAAATACTTTCAGAGAGAGGAGTGGTAAAATGGGAATTACGTAATAAAAGGTTAGATGGTACAAGGGGGAAAATCACCGGCACAACTATCCTCAGTACTGGTATTCATTGCTTGATCTTTTCTTTATATCTCAGTAGGAAGTTTCGGATTAGATTCTAATTTTGTGTTATGATTATTGAATTATTTTACGGTCTATTCATTTCCAAAATGAACTTCCAACTTTCCGTGCGTGTTTGTGTGGAAAACCTGGTGGTACATTGAGAGCTTAACACTCCTTGTGGCTTTGTAGAGTTTACAAGATTCTCACACATTACATTCAGTCACAGAATTTTTTAAAATTCTTGTGCAGAAATTTTGCAAAACGGCAGTTAACGTGGTTTCGCAACGAGCATATCTATCACTGGCTTGATGCTTCCCAACCCTGGGTATGTCTTCCAATCTTGTTTTCAGTATTTTTCAGAAAGAGAAAGATGTAGCTTTCCGCCCTCCCAGGTCTTATTCGTATATTATTTTTCGCGTACTATGTCAATTAAAGATTTGGCTTTGTGCAAGGCTTTTTATTTACCCGAACCCAATGAATTAGTGAATGCTTAATTTTATAAGTGTGATGCTTAACCTTGTGCTTATTAGCATAACGGATAATTCCTGCAGGAAACGGTGCTTGACTTCATTTATGATGCATACCATGAAAACAGTGAAATTTTGGTTGTGCCTGAATCACTGAGAATGAAGAAAGAGCTAACAAGCCATCGAGAAGTTGCCGAACTAAAGGCTTATCGACCTAAAAATAGGTATGATTTACGAACAATGAAGTCTTGCCGTTAAGTGAATGGTTGACACAGAGAACTAAATACTAAATAGTTTTGTTTATGCATGAAGGCATTTTATCAGACGCGAAGATTGTTCAGACATTCTAGACTGGATAAGAGAAACACAATGCTCCAACAGCAAATCGGAACTTGATCATTCACTTCATTGAGGCTTGATGTTTGCCAAACCAACCAATGTTACATGCTCATCCGCCATTCCACCGGAGTGGTGTTCAGTTTGTGTATATGTGATCAGAAATCTCACCAAACAACGCCGGAAAGGTGGCTTAACTTAAAACTGGTTGTTTGTGCCAAGAAGGCGTTCACCGATGAATCACTGCAGCTGCCCGAAGACTATCGGAAATCATATTGTGAGAATTCATACTTCAAGTGAAGTTATTTGAGTTTATGGATTGTAATTTCGTTTACCAACCGTTCAAATGAAGTGATTGTTAATGAGATTATTCGTTTGCACACAGCTTCATGGAACTTTGGCAACCACCTAAAATTCTTCTCCCCTCTCTGCAAAGTCGAGAACCCCCGATAACCGGATGTATACAGTTCGGAGTGACAGATGCAGTGGGGGCGTGGTGGGGGGACAGATGCAGAGGTGGGGAGAGGGAAAGGGGTGGGGGGGGGGGGGTGGGCGGTCACACAGGGTCTTAAATTTGAAGTAGCTCCCAAAATTTTTGCCATCTAGTGTTATTTAGGTGGACAGTCGCATAAGGTCCCAAATTTAAAGAAGTCCCCAAAATTTTTGCCATCTAGTGTTATTTAATAATGTTATATATTTAGAAAATTGCTTTTGTTAGTACTTTAAAATATCATTATGCATTCCTTATAAAAGTAAATTTTTTTCCTTTCTAAATATAAAAAGGTAATGCTAGGGAGACTAAATTTGTAAATTAAATGATGAGTCACTAATATGAAATGATTACGTTTATCAATGCTTAAATAATAATCTAATTATCGACTTACATGTCATTTAATTTACAAAATTTTGTTTACAAATTTAGTATCCTTAGCATCACCCAATATAAAAATTTCTAGTACAATGAGATATTCTGATTGTCAATAATAATAACATCCTAAAAAACGATAGTTTTACAGTTTTATTATATAATAAGGTTATGTATTCAAGTGAATTTTAAAGTTAGAGTTTTGAAGTATTTTTTTTCATGTTCGGTTGTTTAAGATTGAATTGTTTTTGAATATCTAGTGAAGATTATATTGTCACCCATCATGGGATTGTTTTAATCCTCTTTTCGCTTAACTTCAGAGTTCCTATGGAACCCGAAGCTAGTGAGCTCCCAAAAGGCCTTGTGTTAGGTAGAGATGAGAATATACATATAAGAATCACTCCCCTGGACGATGTGAGATGTCACATACTAAATTTAAAATTTAAAAATTAAAATAAGTAAAAAAATCACGTGAAACTGTGAATATTTTCCAACCAAAGTAAAATTGAAAAATGAAAATACTGTCATAAAAATGTTATTTTATTTTGCGGATCAAAAGGCATATAAACAAAAAAAAAAAAAAGGGAATATTAATAGAATATGCTACAAACTTTTGCTTTTCATGCCTGAAAAATGCATTTACCTTCTGAAAAGCCCTTAAAAATTAAATAAAAAGTAATATTCAATAACACGCTTCCCTATGAGCCAACCATAAATATATACAGTACGCATCTCTCACTCTGTAGATTAGTTGTTGTTTCAGTGTTAGCAATTTAAAGCAGCGAGCTTTCGACACTCCCGAAGCCAAAAAAAGAAAGAAAAAGAAAAAATGAGGCCTTCAATCTCCATCGCCAGATCCGTACACCGAGTCGCTCGCCGCAGCTACTCCTCTGCCTCCGTCCCCGAGCGGAAGGTCGCCGTCCTCGGCGCCGCCGGCGGCATCGGCCAGCCCCTGGCCCTCCTCATGAAGCTCAACCCTCTCGTCTCCCACCTCTCCCTCTACGATATCGCCGGAACCCCCGGCGTCGCCGCTGACGTCAGCCACATCAACACCAGATCTGAGGTACTCTCCGAACCCTCTCTAATGCTTTTTCTTCGTCGATCGGATTGCCTCCCATTCGGTCTTAAGTTTTGAACTTTTTTTTTATATTAATTTTGGGATTTGATTGATTGCGATGATTAGGTCAAGGGTTATGCCGGCGAAGAGCAGCTCGCACAAGCCTTGGAGGGAGCCGACGTCGTAATTATCCCCGCCGGTGTGCCCCGAAAGCCCGGGATGACCCGAGACGATCTCTTTAACATTAATGCCGGTATCGTCAAGGGTCTCACTACCGCCATCGCTAAGTACTGCCCCAATGTGAGTATCCATTTCGTGCTCTTCATTTCTATGAATTTTATTTCCCAAATCTTGAATTTTTGATCGAATTGGGTTGTTGGGTGATTGTTTTGGGTAGGCACTGATCAACATGATTAGCAACCCAGTCAACTCTACAGTCCCGATTGCGGCCGAGGTGTTGAAGAAGGCCGGGAAGTACGACGAGAAGAGGTTGTTTGGTGTCACCACTCTTGATGTGGTCAGGGCCAAGACTTTCTATGCTGGAAAGGCCAATGCTAATGTTGCTGGTATATACATTATTGACCCGCCTTCTAAAAGCTCCTTCCTTTAAGCTATGTTTGTGTTATTTTTGTGCTTCTGTTCCGGATTTTAGCAAAAGATTGATGTTCTCAAATCCCAACTTAGCTAGATGTAATTAAAGCATATATATTGTACTATTTGAGGGGTTTTAGGAGCTGATTTTTTTTGTAAGATTGTGTTTTCTTCAGTACCAAATAAAGAACATGGGTTTGTGTTTGCAGAGGTTAATGTACCAGTTGTTGGTGGCCATGCTGGCATCACCATTCTGCCGCTATTTTCTCAGGTATCACTCAAATTGTTTAATCCCTTCGGTTTGATTGTATGAGATTAATGTATTGTTCTTTGTGTGGTATTTGCTTTGGTTGGTCTTGACTCAGAGTTGGCTATTTTGTACTGTTTTGTCTTGTAATGTTTTAGGCTACCCCGACAGCCAATTTGCCTCATGATGTTATCAAGGCTTTGACAAAGAGAACACAAGATGGAGGAACGGAAGTTGTGGAAGCAAAGGCTGGAAAGGGATCTGCAACACTGTCAATGGCGTAAGTGTTAGGATAAAACCATTGCGTGCACACTTTGTTTGCACAGATGCTTCGACTTTATATATCATCATTATATGTGCCTATTTTCAAATTGAAATTTATATTTCATGTAATGTACAAAGTTAAATGTGAAAATGTATGTGGCGAATGTTTCGTAATACCCTCTTATCTGTGTTAAAACATTGTGGATCCATAGCTATTCCAAGGTGTTACATGCTTCTTCCATAATGTTTTTTCCCTTTTCTTATTCCTCAATTGATTTCTTTGTTTCAATTTTCTATTTTCATCGGGAAACAAAGAAGAAATTTATGTATTTTGCTGGACTAACTTACCGTTTATCTTGCAGTTATGCTGGTGCTATTTTCGCTGATGCTTGTCTGAAGGGACTTAATGGAGTGCCCGATGTTGTGGAATGTTCGTTTGTGCAATCCAGCATAACTGAACTTCCTTTCTTTGCTTCTAAGGTTAGTGAGATCAACAAATTAGGGATTCATATACTCACCTTTGATTTTTTTTTTTTTTTTTTGAAACATTTAGTTTGTAACTTTCTTTTTTCCTCGAGCTATTTTTTGTTTTCTAATATACTGGTAATTGTCTATACGGATGAGTGCTATTCAGCTTGAGTATTGCAGCCTGCTACTTAACGTCTCCAAATGTGATTATGTTTGTAGTCATACCTACTAGTCTGTGCCTTGATTGTGATTCCTAGTGTCTACCACCGAGAAACAGTTTTGTATACATCTTTTTGCTGGACGGTGCACTTCCCGTTTTGGCTATTGATGGCTGTTCTGATTTCACTATATGGTGGTTGAAATATATTAGTTAATAGTGGCCTTCGATGTGTCTCAACCATTGCGGTTGCATACTTGTTTGCATGTTAAATGAGTTAGAAGCTCGAACTGTAACACGTGCTATTGGAGGGTAGCACTCAATAGATATAGCATATGTTGGTCGTTGCATTGTATATCTCAGTAATGGGTTCATCCATATGCTTGCCATTTGTAATCTTGCGTCTCTTGTTTGTCTAGTTGGCTGAAATTGTTGATGATGCTATATTTTTCTTTACCTTTCTTGTCATAAGCAATTAAGCATCCTCTGCATTGATTTTTCAGGTGAGGCTTGGAAAGAATGGAGTCGAGGAAGTTTTGGGGTTGGGTAATCTCTCGGACTTTGAACAGGAAGGACTGCAAAGCTTGATCCCTGAGCTCAAATCATCCATCGAGAAGGGTATCAAGTTTGCCAACCAGAGTTAGTGTAATGTAGTATTAATGCCTTGGGGAATGGGGGTTATCCACCCGTCCCGATGGTAACCCATCCAAATTTTGCATTTGTCCAAGTAGTGATGTATTTTTAGTGCTGCCAGCGGCACAGGCACGGGCACCGGCATTGCTTTTTTCATTGGAGTAAGCAGCTCTAATAGACAAAGGTTTCTATAAATAATTCCCAATGACATGTTATGGGAGGGGTTATGTTGTTTGAACTTTGAATCATCGTAATGTTGTTTGAACATTTCTTATTCCCACGTTGTGATCAGTGATCACCACGTTGCAAGTCCCTATTGGACGAGTGGTTTGCTTTTTGAACGTGCCAAGTGTTGCATGGGGATATGAATTGGTTGCAAGAGAGAATCTCTTCTCGATAACCTCCTTTCTGGAACTGATTGTTCGTGGTGACCTGGAGGATTAAAAATTGTGTGGTGAAGCTTTCGTAGTATTCAGTTTTGGGTGCAAATGGACAAAGCTATGTGCTATAGAACAAGGATCCCACTTGGACTCGCCATTTGCTCATTTCAACGTCGATTCCAATCAGGCCGGCGTGACCTCCACACTACAAAACACAACTTCACCTAAATGTAAACATCTTGTTTCTAATTCATCACGTGGTAAGTGTCTATTGAACGAGTAATTCACTTTACAAACACCTGACAGGCGTTTATTGAACAAGTGACACCGCCCAACTATATTTTGATCTCAAGAGAGAATCTGTCCATGCGCACAAGGTTAAATGTTAGAAGTTTTAGAAACAAAACTAAACATTGTTTTTCTTTGATGTTTTCGATCATTCAAAAACTCATCAGTTTCGTTGGCGCACAAGCTTTCACAATTGTAGCTCAAAATCGACAAAAATTTTACCTTGCTCCGCCACTAGAAAATGAAAATTGGTTCTTGGACAACGGAATACATAACTAGAGCAACCCCAAAACCAGAGAAACCAGAAGGGTGTGCACTACGATGCCGAAAACTAGTGCAGGAAGGTTCTGGGGTGGAAGACAAGTCAGAAGCCCAACCATAAAAACAACTTCTAACATATCACTTTTTAAGAGGAAATGATAAGCAAGTAGCTTGCTGTTTGCACTTGTAAATATTTTTTATACAAACTTTTTCCTGCCCTCAGAATAGTTCCTTCTACTAATTTCATATTCTTCCATATGCGACAACTACTAATTAATTAAGGGATGTGCTATCCACACACCTTTTTTTTACTTCATACACACCTTAATTTGCGCCCGTCGGATCGACTAAATTAAAGAAGATCAAAAGACCAAAATTAATAAAGGGTGTGTGAGAAGTAAAAAGAGGTGTGTGAATAGCACACCCCTTAATTAACTTTCCTACGCCAATATACACCTCTGACGAACTCTGATCAGGAGCAGCAATTAAGATGATGACCCTCTTTGGACGCTTTGATCTACACCAACTATATCCCGGGCCGAACAAAAACTTCTCAAAAGATCTGAGATGTCAAGAAATAGGAGAAAACTTGTGTGAGACGTCTTCGTCATAAATGAAGCAAAATAAGTAGCGAATGACTGAATATCTCATGCATGTACGGAATCACTTAACCTGAGTTTTAGAAAACTGCTGCAAACTCAGTATGCTTGTGAACCGGGATTTAACATCATCCAAATTTATTGATAACACAACAGATAAGGAGAATGCAAATGTCTCTCTGTCCACTAAAATCGAATATCTTAAATGTATACATGCATTTAAAGATGTAACTAGCACGCAAGCTATCTACGTTTAGTGCGAGACAAGCTTCCGAGGGATTCATGTAATAAAAACTCAGAATCCTGGTATATGCACATGCACTAACATTTAGAGGTTGTGGCCATCTTTTAAAATGAATATTATAGAGGACTCGTAAGTCTTGCTCTCAAACCAGCAAGAGTTTTCTTGACACGAGTGCAGACGTGCACTCACAAACACTGCATTCACACATGCATGTCCATGGATAAGCAAAAGCAGTGTAAATAAAAAAATGACCACGATATCTGTTCATTGTTTACAAAGGAAGGCAAGTAAGATTTAAAACCCCATCAGACATTCACAGTTCGAAAAATTTCATGGTATTTGGAGAAAATTCATGAATCCAGTGGACAGCCACTGCAAAACAAAAATTCAAGGCGACAGCCTCACTGGTGCTAGAGTGATGAAAGTTTTCTCAAACAGGAAATGGTATGAAACACAGAACAAAGATATTCAACATATTATGTAAAATTTGAAGAAACAAACAGTTTCCTACAGGTCTAAGTCTGACCGAAAGTTAGAGTAAACTGCTGTCAGCATTTATTTATTGACAAATAGCCATTTGGGCGGGGAGAATAAAAACAACCATAATTGTTGAAATGACAACTGGCATAATACAAAGTTACCATTCTATTTTCTTCTTTAGGGTTGCCAAGATTAAAGAAACTCGATTATAAACAATCATGGAACCCCAAAGATTGAATATTACAATTGCCTTGTTATTATCTATGTATGATTCAAAATTAATTCAGTAGTCGACAAGCTGGCTCTGAATAAAAATAACAATAAATTGTTAGCCAAGAGAAAGATAATGCCACCTACCTCAAGTAAATCAATTCAAGTCCTAGGTCAATGATTTGAATCTGATTCAACACCGCAGGAACTTTCATTGTCAGAATCTGCATAGAAAATAGCAAAATAAATAAACTCATAACAACATCAAACAGAACTAGGACGTTACATAAATAGTAACGGAAAAACATCGATAATTACCACTTGAAGAGGATTCAGATTCACTGCTAGAACCACTTGATCTGCTCACATTATCACCTTGCTCTTCTCTTTGAACTGGGGAAAATGCATTACTGTTGTTTTCCACTTCTACAAATGAAACATTAAGTGTTAAACAAGTAGAACGTCATAGGATTCAAGAGTGACCTTAACCAAAGTGCCACTGATGCTTAAGAGTTAAAATTTATTACCTGCGTTGGCTTCTTTTGCCGCCATTGTAGTGGCTGGTGCTACAGTCTGCAAAGATGATAAGTTGATCATGTATTAGGCAGAAAAACTTAAGAGTGAGAAGCAGGGCAGGGAACAAATTTATTGTCTTACCATCTCCTGGATGGTATCACAGGGCTCTGCTATTGATTGAGGACCAAGCTCCACGTTTCTGTTAACTTTGCTCAAACTTTTTTTGTAATTAGTCACAAACCTATCAAGTTCCCAAAGAGTTTCAGGATCAACACTACCAATGTCCACCTCAATCTCATCCTCTTGCTGAAAAGGCCCTGGGTTCCTTTTCCTAATAATCTTCACAACGTTATCTAGTTTCTCAGAAGGCAAAGTCATGAGGTCTGCACTGAGCCTCTGCTTCTCCTCATAAGTCATATCCCTTTTGTCGGGGTCCCTGGCTTTTGGTTTCTTTGGAACTGATACCCTACCGGGATGACCAGAACTCACAGGTTTCAACTTGCGGTCAACAGGCTTTGTCATAGATTCTGCTCTATCCAGAGTCCTCATATTCGATGCCAAAGGAGGGGGAGGAGCGGGAGCTTCATCTTTTCTTGAAACAGGTGTTGTGAAATTTGAATTATTACCCAATTCATTTCTCAGATTGAGATTATACTCAGCCTCTACATCCGTCCATTTCACTTCAAACAACTTCAACAATTGGTCCGCCATAAGATGAACATCCTGCTCTTTCGGGTTATACAACATTGCATTGTTAAATGTAAGTCTCACATCCTCTGCAAATTCTGCTGGCGTCTTATACCAATTCTCGTTCAGCCTCGTCCTCACCGTGCCCAAATCCATCGGTTTCTTAACAATTGTATTGTAATCATGAAGACCAAGCATCTTCACATCCACAGGCTTATTAAACACCCAGCCAAACTTATGCTTCATCAACTTTTCAAGCAAAGCACTACAATTCTTAAACATTTTGCTCCGATTCTTACCTGACCTGAACCAGGGCTCTCCCCCACCCCCATCTCTCCCCCCTTGAGTGGGTTTCAACTTCTTGCTACTCTCTGAAGGAGGTAACTTTTCCTTCCCAATCAGAAACTCCGAACCTTGGTTTGTCTTGGGCCTCTTCTTCACATTCTCCTTCTCCACAAACTGACCACCCCCATTCTTATTCTCCGCAACCGAAACACTCATTGTAGGTTTAACATTATCTACTGCATGATTAGCCAAAAGTGATTGACCATACCTTTCACCAAGCTCAAACTCCTTAGCTTCAAGATTCTTCATCAAGCACCTAACTTGCTCGAGCTCGCCCGTCAGCTTCTCCTTGATCTCTCTCCTATCGTCCTTGGACTGAGAACCCAACCGAATCCGAACCATGTTCCCGAACTTGGCGTACCCACGTGGACCGTCGACCGGTTCGGCAAAGCCCGGCAGCAGGCCATTGTGGCTCGTCGAATCGTTGGATGCCAGCGCGCCGCGGAGTTGCGTCAGGTCCTGAGGCGGCGGCGATGAGTGGTGGAGGACATGGTTGGGATTCTTGGACTTGTTCTGGGTCGTTCTGGAATAGGCCTTGTTGCTCGCTTCGTCACCCACCAATGGTCCTGAAACCATAATAATAGGAAATGCTCTCAAAAGCCCTAAATTTGATTTCTTCAAGATTGGTCTGCACTAGTGGGAATTGAATAAAAGCTAGGGTTTTGGGGAAGAAAACCCTAAAAGTTAATACATGAAAAACCCTAAGTTTCCAAATTTTTTGCTGAAAAACCCTGAATTTCTAAATTTGATGAAAAACCCAGAAATAGAAATCGATTTGTGCTGGGAATTTGGGACAAAGATTCCTACTTTTAGGGTTTCCTATTAGGGTTTGGTGAAATTGGGGATCATACGCAGGGGAGGTAATCGTACGTTCGTGGAACTAGACAGTGGCTCTCTGCAGCAGTACTGATGCTAGTGCGTTCCCAATGTGTGTCGTATTGTTCGTAATTGTTGTCGTTTTGATGTTATTATTTGTTCTTACTTAACAAGTTAAACTAATAGTAGTAGCGGATTATTAATTAGTCATCACCAAAACGTGCACTAAAAATATGAGTTGAAAAAATGGCTAATCAGGATGTATAATCTGCGGACGAGGCTTTACCGCAGTGATGAAAAATATTTAGGCTTATGCATCTTGGTAGGGATTTAATCTCTACTGACTTCTTTTTTTGTTAATAACCAAATTCTAACATACTAACCTTATCGCTTAACTAAAAATGAAGAATGTACAACCTCAGTTAACAAGTTAGCTTACTCATGATTAGCCTTTTCGGGTTGATGGTCAGAAGCTGCAATAATCTTGACGGGGGGACTCGGAGGTGTCACGAACATAATTCCAAATGTTGCGTTCAACAAGAAAGACGCATTTGGCTCTCCCAAAAAGGATAATTCGTCTTAGAAATTTTGAAAAAGTGGGCAACACTAGGGTTGAAAGGGAAGAGGAAGAAGTGGAAGCCATAAGGAGAGACTTAAGTAAAATTGGAGAACATTCGGGTGAGACACGAGAAGAAAGAAACTTAAAATAAACTTATGGCAGGTAGAAATATTGAATTGAATTGGTTGATTTCATTCGTAAGGTAAACAGCTTTATATATACATCACAAGTTTTGGGATGTAAGAATTAGGATTTTTTTAGGAGAATATGAAATCTAATTTATGTATAATTACAATACTTGTGGAACAAAAAAAATCATAGAGTTTTATCGTTACAAAATATTTATCTTTTAAAATACCAGCTAAGGGATATTTTAATTCATTTTAATACGCTACATTGAGGGTAGCTAAGGGATAATGAAGCAACAAAAAGAAGTTATGTGCTTTAACTCAGTCATTGTTTTCATCATGTCTCCTTTGGTCTACTCATTGGTTTTTTTGGGTTAAGCTTAACACAGATGGTTTGTCTAAAGGAAATCTCAGTCTTGCAGCTTGTGGAGGAGCTTTCAGCAATTGCCATGGTTGTTTTCTTGGAGATTTCTGTCAAGGGATTGGCCATTGCAACTTTTTTTTTTTTTTTTTTTTTTTTTGCAGAGTTATCAGCAATTATTATTGATGTAGAGTTTGCATATTAGTGGGGTTGACATTTGTCTTTGGTTAGAAAGTGACAATTCTAGAGTTATTTATGCTCTTCAATTGTCTGATTTTGATCCTTCTATTAGGAAAATATTTCTCATTAACTCAATGAATAACTTTACACTGTAGGTATTTATACAAGTCCATCACAACTAGCAAAGAAAGGATAACAAATAGAACAAACTAAAGATTTCTTATTCTCTAAGTATTGTCTCTTTTAGGTGTAATTACATTTTTATCCTTAATATCCCCCTTCAAACAAAACTGGGGAATTCTCGGTTGAAGTTTATCACAGAGAAACAGGAATCTGGGCTTTGACAGAGACTTGGTGCAAATATCAGCAATCTGATCCTGTGTACCCACAAAATGCACAGAAACTTGATTTGCCAGAAGCTGTTCACGAATGTAATGGTAATCTATCTCTACATGCTTTGTTCGAGCATGGAAGATGGGATTTTTTGCTAAGGAAATGGCAGATACATTATCACACCATAACTGGGGGGAATTTGGTAGAGGATAAGCAATGTCAGCAAGGAGTTTGCATAGCCATGTGAGTTTTGCAGCAGTATTAGCAAGAGACCGATACTCGGCTTCAGTTGAGGATCGAGCAACAGTAGGTTGCTTCTTGGCACTCCAACTAATAAGGGAATTGCCAAAGTAAATGCAATAACCTCCTGTAGATCTTCTGTCTAAAGAGCACCCTACCCAATCTGCATCAGAAAAAGCTTGAATAGATGGAACTTGAGAACACTTGGAGAACTATAATCCCAGGTCAAGAGAGCCCTTGAGATATCGGTGAATGCGTTTTACTGCTTGCATATGGGAGATCCTTGGATTGTGCATAAACTGACAAACCAAATTAACAGCAAAACTGAGATCAGGTCGAGTCTAGGTTAAGTACTGAAGAGCTCTAACTAGAGAATGATATTCATAAGCATTTGCAAGCAGAGGAGAAGTGTGATCAAGCTTAGTGGTACTGAGAGGAGTGGTGCAGAGCTTGGCACCTTCCATGCGTGCTTTGGTCAGGAGATTCAAGATATACTTAGTTTGATTGATAAAGATAACTGAAGATGATCTTTTGACTTCAATTCCAAGGAAATAATGAAGAGCACCAAGATCCTTGATGGGAAAAAGAGCACTGAGGTGGGTGATGACTTGTTGACAAGCTGCAGATGATGGTCTAGTCACTAAGATATCATCCACATAGACTAGGATGAATACCAAAGTGGGAGAGCGCTTTACAAACAGAGAGTGATCACTTTGAGAGCCTTGGAACCCAAGAGAAGACAAAGCTTAATGAAGTTTATCATACCAGGCTCGAGGGGTCTGTTTTAAGCCATATAGAAATCGGTGAAGATGACAAACATGATGTGGTTTAGCTGGATCTTCAAAGCTAGGTGGCTGTTGCATGAACACAGATTCAGTAAGAGTGCCATGGAGAAAGGCATTGCTGACATCTAATTGATTGAGAAACCAATCATATTGGGCAGCACGGGTGAGAAGGAGGCGAATAGTCACAGGTTTAGCCACTGGACTAAAGGTTTCAGTGTAGTCTAATACCTCTTACTGGTGAAATCCTTTAGCAACTAAACGGGCTTTATACTGATCAATAGATCCATTGGGTTTTCGTTTGATCCGAAAAACCCACTTACAACCGACAAGGTTAGGAGAAGAAGAAGAAGGTACAGGAGACCAAGTACCAGTGTTGATAAGGGCATTAAACTCCTCTTGCATTGCTGTGCGCCAATGGGAATATTTGGAAGCTTGGGAGTAGGTTGTAGGAATATAGTCAACTGCAAGATGTGGATGAATGGGGTGCTTAATTGCAGTGAGGGCTTTGGGTTTAAAAATTCCGGACTTGGATCGTGTTTGCATAGGGTGAATATTGGTAGGTGGTGTAAACTGTGAGGAATTGGAATTTAAAGGATTTGCAGAAGTGGATGATGAAACATGATTTGAAAATGTGGATATGGATGGGGAGAGTGGTGCAGGATTCAATGAAAGAGATTGAGATGTTGATAATGGTGGTGAAGAGACAGTGTGTGGAGGGAAAAGAGGAAAGATGAGCGATGATGGAATGAGAGATTGGTATAAGGAAGAGAGAACATGGGTAGTTGAAGAGGAAGGCAAGGAATGAAATGGAAAACTTGATTCATCAAAAATAACATGTCGTGAAATATATAGTCTGTGAGTGGAAGGATGTAGACAGAGATAGCCCTTATGATTTAAGCTATACCCCAAGAAGACACAGGGCTTGCTTTTAGGATCGAGTTTGGAAGATGTGTATGGCTTCAGCCAAGGGAAACAACTGCAACTAAAGACCTTGAGAAACTTATAGTCCGGGGCTTTCTTGAAGAGAGACTGCCAAAGAGAATATCGGGAGATAGTAGGTAACCTGTTAATGAGATAGATAGATGTGGCGAAAGCCTCAACCCAATAAGCATGAGGCACTTTAGATGCTGCCAAGAGAGTCTGAGCAGTCTCAACTATGTGCCGGTGCTTACGTTCGGCACACCCATTTTGCTCAAGAATGTGGGGACAGGTAAGTTGATGTTGGATACCATGGCTAGACAAGAACTGAGAGACAGCAATGCTAACAAATTCTCCACCAGAATCTGACCGTAAAGCAATAACCTTTGTACACAAAGAGTTTTCAACAAGTAATTTCCATTGCTTAAAAATGGGAAGTACATCAGATTTACACTTCAAAGGATAGAACCAGTAATAACGGGTATAGTCATCTAGGAAAATGACATAGTATCGAAAACCTTGATGAGAAACAGTGGGTGAGGGTCCCCAAACATCCGTATGGATAAGTTCTAAAGGCTTGCTAGTAGTACAAATAGTGCTTGAAAATGGAAGTCTAGAACATTTCCCTAGTGCACAATCTGAGCAAAAGGTTTTATTGAAACTATCAACAACAGAAATACAGGACTGAGAGGCCAACTTATTTACGATCTTCACAGAAGGGTGGCCCAATCTTTGATGCCAAAGATGTCTTGGAGCTTTGACAGATGCAGTTAAAGCTTGATGAGAAGTAGCAGGTAATGAGGACGTGGAGAGTGGATAGAATCCATGTTGAACTGGACCCTTAAAAAGCATCCTCCCCGAAGAAAGATCTTTCACAGTGAAGTGAAAGGGATAAAGATGCATAGAGCAGGAGTTGTCAAGTAGAGATTGATTCGCAGAGAGAAGATTATGCTTTAAGGCAGGGACATCTAAAACATGCTTCAACATAAAAGAATTAGTAGAAGTATGTAAAGATGATGAGCCAGAGTGGAGAATAGGCAAACGTTTGCCATCTCCAATATACACTTGCTCAGGACCAGTATATGCTTCTGGATTCTAAAGATTGGCATACGAATTCGTCATGTGCGAACTAGCACCAGAGTCGACAATCCAGGTAGGATTATGATTGAAAGTACTGGCAACCATTGCAGAATGAGAAACTTTGCCATTGTAGTTTTGATCCATGCGATGAGGACAGTCACAGGCTTCATGATTTGGTTGGCGAAAAATCTGACAGAATAGCTTTCGAGTTGAAGAGTAATTGGTACAAGCTCCACGATTGAATCGTTGATTAGTATTCTGAGAGTAGTTATTCCTGCCATTGTTGAATCTATAATTGCCACGAGATTGAAAGTTACCCCGATTGGGACGTCCTTGATTGGTGAAAGGAAGAACATGCTGAGCAGCAAAAGCTTGGGGAGTAGAAGTTGCAGGCAAGGGAAGAATACCAGCAGAGGAATGATACGCCTGAAATGGTGCAGGGGAAACAGGTTTCTTCTGATTGTTGAGTTGAATTTCCTTACTGAGAAGTAAGCCATGCAATTCATCAATAGTTGTGGAACCAATGCGGAACTGAA